TGCTGGGTGGCAAGCACTGAACTCATCGTTTCATCCTAGACCAAGGCAAGCACCTTAAACAGCTTCCTCCATACCAACTCTCTGCTTGCTCCCTCCCTTTTTTGATGCCCTCAACTAGAGTTCTCCTGGGCATCACAGGGTGCAGCCGTGAAGGCCCCCAAACACCACCAGAGGGACCCAGGGAATCCCTAGTACTGCATCTTCGCATTCTCACATTAAGCCAGGAGTCGGGAATGACCAGGAAGGATCCTCCTGCTTGGATCACCCACCCCTGTTCCAAACATAGGAGGTTGGAATGAGACTGTTGATCTGATTCCCAAGAAACCAACAGAGTATCATCCTCAGAAAGGAATATATTCTGGTAAGAATTCATTTTTTTGAGCAAGTTGGAGGGAAGAGATGCTTTGCAGCTAACACTCACTGTTTTTTTTTTTTTTACCTACCTGCTTGGTAGGAAATATAGTAAAAATTTAAAGGAGGATAAAGGGCCAAAGGACAGCACAGCAGGTAAGATGCTTGTCTAGCATGCAGTCAATACAGGTTCAATCCCCAGGGTCATACAGACCACACATATATAGTCCCCCAAGCCTCATACAGGAATGAGCCCTGTATGCAGAGCCGGGAGTAAGCCCCAAACATTAGCAGGTATGATGTATTAAAAAAAATAGGACAGATAGGGGCTGGCGCAATAGTACAGCAGGTAGAGTGTTTGCTTTGCACATGGCCAATTTAGGCTCAATCCCCAGCATCCCATATGGTCCCCCAAGCATCACCAGGAGTAATTCCTGAGTGCAGAGCCAGGAGTAACCCCTGAGCATTGCTGGGTGTGACCCAAAAAGACAAACAAAAAATTAGGACAGATAGCTCAGAGTGCATGTTTTGCATGCAGAGGGGTTGGATTTGGTCACTGGCAGCAACAAAAAAAGAACAAATACAATACAATACAAAACAAAACAAAAAGGGGGGGGGCTGGAGTGATAGCACAGCAGGTAGGGCACTTGCCTTGCACGTGGCCGACCCGGGTTCGATTCCCAGCATCCCCTATGGTCCCCTAAGCACCTCCAGGGGTAATTCCTGAGTGTGGAGCCAGGAGTAACCCCTCTGCATCGTCAGGTGTGACCCAAAAAGGAAAAAAAATCTTAGCTTCCAGTCTTCCTTCATATTTGTGATCAATTCATCTCCCAGAACACATTTTGGTAAGGTCACTATCGTGTGCTTTGCAAACAGAAGAGACACGAGTCGCCTGTCCTGAACTATCTCTCCAGCCCTGGGCCAGAAGCTTTCCCAGGAGCCCAAAGTGTGGGGGGGAAGGAGATCGGGGGCACTGCTCAGGAGAACTGCAGGAGCTGATGAGAACAGTCTGAAAATCCAAGCCACTTCTCAGAGCCAAATAGGGGATTGCGACAGGGTTCTTGGAAATGAACTTTCCTATCCATTCCTCTTAACGTTTTATCTTTCTGATACAGCAGGTATTGTCCCTAAACCAGCATCAGAATACAACCCAAGTCCAGTGAGAGGTGGAGAGACAGTACAGCGGGTAGCACCTGGGTTCGACCCCCAGAACTCTATGTGGTCCCCTGAGCCCCACCAGAAGTGACCTGTGAGCACAGAGCCACATGCAAGACTTGAGCACTGCTAGGCGTGGCCCCCAAACCAAAAGACTTTGAGAGGTCATCCTTAAAGAGCCAGCAACTCATGGGCAACGCCACAATTAAGTGAAGGGGAAGTCATGGACATGCCCTTCCAAAGATGTCTTAAAGGCCAGGGAGATGGTTCAAAGGACTGGGGCACAAGCTTTGTGTGTGGAGACCCCAGATTTGACCCCCAGCACTACACTGTCTCCCAAGAACCAAACTGAGTCACCCAGCAACAACTGGTGTGGTCTCCTTAAAGGAACCTCTTAAAGGGCCCAATGGTACAGTGGGTAAAGCATCTGCCTTGCACACATCTGACCCAGGTTTGATCCCTAACACCCCATATTGTTCCCTGAGTTGCACCAGAAGTGATTCTTGAGCACAGAACCAGGAATAAGCTCCAAACGCTGCTGGCTCCCCCAACCTCGCCCACTACCACACACACCCCCAATTTTTTTTTCCTCTTTGGGTCACACCGGGTGATGCTCAGGGGTTACTCCTGGCTCTGCATTCAGGAATCACTCCTGGCAGTGCCCGGGGGACCACATGGGATGCTGGGAATCGAACCTGCGTCAGCTGCGTGCAAGGCAAACGTCCTACCCGCTGTGCTTTTGCTCCAGCCCTACACCCAATTTTTAAAATCTAGTTCCACTCTGATTTGTCATGGGTGTCCGATTTATTGTTCAGTGATGCAAAGGAAGAATTCTGTTTTGACACATATGAGGTGCTCAGGAACCATGTCCCGCAGTGCTCGGGGTAACCATGAAATACCACAGATTAAACCCAGGATGGTTGCATGCAAGGCAAGGGCCCTACCTCGCTCCAGCTCCAAATGTGAATTTCTTAAAACATTTTGGAAAAACTAATGAATATAATAAACCAAGAACTTGAACCCGCCGCTCAACTTTCATGTATTTATGAAAATTAAAGGAATGGTTAATTATAAAGAAAAGAATACTCTTTTCCGCCATCAACATTTTCACACCAGGAATGTAAGTAGCAGATATATAATTTAGGAAACAAAAAAGCTATAAACTATTATTGAAAGAGGTTCTGGGGCTAGAGTGATAGCACAATGGGTAGGGAGTTTACCTTGCACGTGGCTGACCCGGGTTCAATTCCCAGCATCCCATATGGTCCCCTGAGCATTGCCAGGAGTAATTCCTGAGTGCAGAGCTAAGAGTAACCCCTGTGTATCACCGGGTGTGAGTCCAAAAGCAAAACAAAATAAATAAAAGAAAGAGGTTCTACAGGCTTCTTTGCAATTCATAGCATGGAATTAATATTGACGAAAACATAAAAGGCACTATCTTAGTAGGTATAGGAATTGGAGGAAGCTCTCAGCTGGACTGTCCATCAGGAACATAGGTTATGACCTCAGCGTGGGTCAGAGGGTTGGCTTTAATTCCTACCTGTACCTGTCAGCTTCAACAGCGTGGGCAGCCTTGCAGCTGTGTTTTCTAAAGCCATGCAGTATGTTTTGGGGTCACACCTAGAGGAGCAAACTCCCAGCTGCAAGCTTGAAGATGACTCCTAGCATTGCTCAGGGCCCGTGAGTGCTATGATGAAATCTGAGAGGCCTCCTACATGTAAAGTCGTCCCAGCCCTTTGAGCTATCACTGGCACCTGTGATAGTTTTTTTTTGGGGGGACCCAGAGTTAATCATCATTGCTAAAGCGCAGAATTTAAAAGGCAGGGGAAAAAGTCATAAAAGAGAAAAGTAAGAGACTGGTGTGATAGTCAAGTGGGTAGGACACTTGCTTTGCACAAGGCCCACCCAGGTCTAGTCCTTAGCACCACAGATGATCCCCCAAGGACCACCTGAGAGCAAAGAGAGCAAAGTCAGGAGTAACCCATAAATAAGCACTGTCAGGTGCACTCTATCCTCCCCCTCTCCCCCAAGTATGGGGAAAAATAAAGAAAAGCAAAATAGAGTTCTTGCAAAAGATAAACTCCCTGGAAATTCTAACTGCCCCCCCCCCCAAAAAAAAAGAAACCACATACTATCAGTAATGAAAAAAGAGATCAGGAATATCCTATAATCTCAAGAGCTGGAGAAATAGCTGAACAGGCTGGTTCTGTATGCTGTGCATGCAGGTGGCATGGGTTCAACGCCCAGTGTACTCCAGGGTCCCCCTAAGCACTGCTAGGCTTAATCTCCAAGCACCGAGTTCACACAAGCCCCCTAAGTACTGCCAGGTGTGTCTTCCCAATATACATGTAAACTTTTTGCCTTCATTTCTAATAATTTTTCAAAGTTGACACCGCAGGGTCTGGTGTTATAGTCCAGCACGTAGGGGCTCTTGCCTTGTATGTGGCCAACCCAGGTTCGAACCCCAGTAGCCCATGTGGTTCCCCAAGCCTGCCAGGAGTGACCTCTGAGCACAGAGTCAGAGGTAAGCCCTGAGCACAAGATGTGGCTCGAAACCAGTTGTGTTTTTTTGTGGTTGTTATTGTTTTTTAATGAAAGAAAATTAAAAGGCCAACCTGTCTCACGAATATGCAAAAATCTTATGTGGGCTGGAGCAAGAGCAACTGCATACAAAAGGCCTGGGTTCAGTGTCTGACAGTGCAGCCCGAGAGCTTCCAGGAAAGACCCCTGAGCATTGCAGGTGTGGCCCCAAACTAAAATCATGCCCCCTCCCCACACACACAAATCCCTTGTCTATTTTTAAATGTGTTTAACAACAACAACGAAAAAAAAGTATTTAACTTGTGCAGAACAGTGCAGTCTCCTGCCCCCGCGACTGCCTGTCCTCGCCGGGGCCCCTTGGAGGGGAGCGGGTTGAGCTTTCCTCCCCGCCCCGACCAGGGCTCCGGGAGTCGAAGACCTCCAGGACCAGCCACCACCATGCTGAGACCACTCTCCGCACACATGAAGGTACTGGCAGAGGGACAAAGCCACGCGGGTTCCGGGGCCGAGATCTCCAAGCCTATTCGGATTGGGGCCGAGCATCCTCCACCCAGATCCTCCAAATTCCAGTAGGCGGGGGTCACAACCACCAACTGGCCCCCTGGCGCCGTGTAATCCCATCAACGGCCAAGACTCAGAGACTATAAAAACCAGCTCCATCTAATTATGACATCTTATTATCTCACTCCTACTTTGGACAAACTGGCAGGCTACCGAATGTAGCCTGCCCACAGGGCAGAGTCTGGCAAACTCCCCGTGGCGTACCCAATATGTCAAATACCAGTAACAATGACGGGTCTCATTCTCCTAAAGAGCCTTGAATATAATCTCAGGGCTAGGATGAAGGAGACGTTACTGGGGCCTGCTCGAGGCAATCGACGAATAACAGGATGATTTGTGATTTGTGATTGTGATTAACTTGTGCATATATTAAAGCTCATCCAACATTTTCAAAGTAAAACAAATACTTTTATTGCACATTTATAAAATCTGCATAGTTATGTAGAAGTGTTCTTCCCTCCCACGGTTCCCTCAGGAATCTGAAAATTTGGCTAAGACACAATATCCAATCTGAAGCCTTGTACAAATGGTCAGATTATTTCTCTCTACATATACATATATATATGTATATATATATATATATATCTTTTTACAAACCCACACCCCTTTATTTTTTCCAAGGCAAAAAACCAAAACCAAAACCAAGTTAGAAAACAAAACAAAACAAAACAAAACAAGGGGTGGGGCCATCAAAAGTGTTGACTCTGTGGCCAGCGACAGCCTCGGACACATCCTTCAAGATCGGCGGATGCTGTAGAAGTTTACCTGAACAGTTACCAAAATGCTCAAAGTTAGTCAAGTTTCACGATGCTAGTCCACCTAGTAATACTTCCCTTCCTTTCGTCCAGGACTGGGCATGAGGTTCTCTGGTTATTTAAAAACATCAAATAAGAGGAGAAAAGGGAGCGATGGTTTGCTGGCGACTCAGCAGCTGCTTCTCGCCACGGGAATCTTAGCTGCCAGCCCCCAGTTTAAGACGGGGCGTGGTTAGCACCTCACTCGGGGCACAGCCTGTCGGCTCCTATTAAGAGCCAGTGGAGGCTTCTCGCTCACCGGTCTTGCAGCCCTCCCCAGTTCGACAGTTGTCCACCGCAGTGCCTCGGAGCTGTCCATTTGGGCTGGGTTCTGACGCAGAGCTGCTGGAGGCAGAAATTTTGATGCTGGGTAGAGGATTTTTTTTTTTTTTTAAATGGCAAGTGGTGTGGGAGAGCCCAAGCATGTGTAGGTGCCAGAAGCCCTTTCAGACCTTCGGGCATGATTCAAGACCTAATACAGCGCTGGTTCCTGCCTTTCTAGTCCCTTCCATCGTACTGCTTACATGATTCTGTGTTGGAAAAGCATGAGTGTACTTTCAATCCGTCGCACACAGGGCATGGCTGGGGTCCGGGCAGGAATCTCCCTTCTCCGTCTAATCCCTCTCCCAAGGTTAACACGCTGTCCACAGACTTCCGGGCAACAGGCAGGCGACCACAGACTGGGATGGTGCCCCCAGCAGACGGGGGCTTACTTCACTGTCACTGTTGAGACCCCCTGAATGGACTCCATGACGGCGGCAAATCGGCTACAGAGGTCATAGGGGGAATTGGGTCGGATGGTTGGAGGCTCCTTCAAGACAATGATTTCCGTGGAAGGATCAAGAAGCCTGGGCAGAAACTCCCCTAAGCACAGCTGTAGATTTTCTGTGGGGGGAAAAAAATTTTGATGATTATACACACAGGAGTATGGATATGAGAAAAAGTAGTTAAGTCTGCAACCGGACTGGAGGGTCTTCTGCACACCCACTGCCCAACCTCAAAGGTCAAACATCACTCTGGACAGCAAAGCCTGATTCCCCAACACCTGGGCACTGTCAGAAATGTTCCCGGAGTGCAGAGCCAAGAGTTAACTCCTGAGCACTGCTGGATGTAGTCCCCCCTCCCCGCCCCCCACCGGTTACTTTGGTCTGACAGCACAAAGGGGTAGAATGCATGCCAAGTATGTTTGAGGATTTGTGTATGATCCCCACCACCAAGTGGCCCCCATCAGCCCCCCTGAGCATGGCAGAGAGATCTCTGGGCCCACAAGCACTCTGGGGAGGGCACCCTACAAAATGCATTTGAGGCAGTAGATAGGAGACTGTACCACAGACACATTCAAAGGCTACTTTCTTTCAAGTGATTACTAAGTCCCAGGGTGGACCCCCGGGGCATCAAGTAAATGTTCTATGTCACACGTGAAAAGAGAAAACGAAAAATATTAAGTGGAAATCTGTAGCTGCTAATATTTTTTTTTTTTTTTTTTTGCTGTTTGGGTCACAACCCGGATTTGCACAGGGGTTACTCCTGGCTCATGCACTCAGGAATTACTCCTGGCGGTGCTCAGGGGACCATATGGGATGCTGGGAATCGAACTTGGGTCGGCTGCGTGCAAGGCAAAAGCCCTACCCGCTGTGCTATCACTCCAGCCCCTGCTATTATTTTTAGAACTTTTCAACAAATCTTAGAAGCCTGAAAGCTGCAACATGTCAACAGACTAGCTTAACCTCACTGACAAGGAAATTCAATTGAACACACACCAATTTTCCAAAAACTACCAAATGCACTTAAAAAGAACTGTTTGTCCTCTCCAAAATGCTGTGGACAAGCAGAGACATTTTATGTTTTTCAATCTTGAAGACATGATTGATAATAACAACTCTGTCTTGCAACTTCCAAGTCATAGGAAGATTCAGTTCTGGCAACATTGGGTAATGTGGATACGAAAGTGGGCCTGCTCCCTCTGGGTGAATGCTGGAGGTGCACAGAGGGTCATGCATGGACACATGCCTCCAGCATGCAAAATAAGGCACAGTGACTTTTTGGGCTTTTTTTTTTGGTTTGTTTTTGGGCCACACCCGGCAATGCTCAGGAGTTACATCTGCCTCTGCACTCAGAAATCACTACTGGCAGTGTTCAGGGGACCACATGGGAAGCCGGGGATCAAACTCTTGTTGGCCAGCACCTTAACTGCTGTACTATCACTCCGGCCCTACACTGTGTCATTCTTAATATTTGGTTTTAGGGACACACTCAGTGGTGCTGAAATGCTATTCCTGAGACCATGTGTTGCCAGTGACCAAATCCAGCTCCTCTGCATGCAAAACATGCGCTCTGAGCTTTCTTTTCTTTCTTTCTTTTCTTAAATACATCATACCGGGCAGTGCTCAGAACTTACTCCTGGACCTGTGCTCAGAGATCACTCCTGGCAGGTCTCGGGGACCATATGTTATTCCAGAGGCATGTAAGGCAAGATATACACTTGCTATACTATCTCTCCAGTTCTGAAATTTAGTTTTTGACTATAAAACCAGAGTTAGATCTTGGCAGATGAAACAAGTTTGGAGAGCAGTGATGTTTTATTTCTGGCTGGCTGTGCAGGTGTCTCTGCGGGTAATGGGGGTAACAGGGGGCTTAACGGGCAGAGGATCAGACTCCCCTCCCTTACTTCGTGAATAGCGGGTTCACAAGCTAGGGGTTCCAAGAGTCCCTTAAAAAAAAAAAACAAAAACAAAAACCGACAGCTGGTCTGCTGCATGGAACCAAAGCCATCTCTAGAATCCCAGAGAGCCCGGAAATGATTACAAGCACCCAGCAATAACAGACCTGCAATATCCTGCCCCAGGTAAGAGCACCAATGGTTCCTCATGATCTCGATGGCGTCCAGGTCGTCCTTGGAGATGTCATTATTAATGATGAGGTGAATGCAGGGAATGATCAGCTCGTTCATCACGTTAATGCCCTCCGTGACCGAGTGCTCGTCATTTGTTTCAAAGAGAGAAGCCGCTTTAGCATTCAGCTCCTACGTGAAAGGTAGAGTTAGAAGAAAAACAGCTACTGGTAAGAGCATAAACAAGTAGCTTTATTTTATTTTTGCTTTTTCGGTCACACCCGGTGTTAGGTTTCCCCTAGCTCTGCACAGAGGTATTACTTCTGGCAGTGGTATTACTTCTGGGGACCACATGGGATGCCGGAGATCGAACCCGGGTCAGCCGCATGCAAGGCAAATGCCCTCCCTGCTGTACTATTGCTCTGGCCCCTCCCTGGGGGACGCTTTAAAAGCTAGTGCTGCTGGGGCCAGGACTGTAGCTCAGAGGATTCTGCCTATGTACAGCCCCTGCTTCAAACCCCAGCACATTATTTGCACCCCCAGTACCACAGGGTGTGGCCGTGATAATCCCAGAGGCATGAATACCATCTGCTCAGACACCTCTGGGTCTGGCCTCTACAAAAAAATAAAACCAATTGGGGAGCCAGAGATAGTACACGGTGCTCAGGGCTTCCTCCTGGCTCTGCACTTAGGAATCACTCCTGGCGGTGCTCAGGAGATCCTACGAAATGTTGGGTATCGAACCAGGATCGGCCACAAGCAAGGTAAGGCCCTGACTGTGAAGTTACTCTTGAGGAGAAAGCTAAAAGCTGTGGGAGATCCTATATTTCTTCCTTGTGGCATTACTGCCCTTTTGGGTCACATTAGCACAGGCGGACGACAGAGCGTCCCCAGATCTGCACCCACTCTGAGGCAATCACAAGCCTCGTTCCCCTCCCTCACTGTATGGCACGACCGTGAGGAGCACGCCTATGAGCTCCTCCTCCAGCAACTTCCACATCCTCCACGCCAGGCCCCGCTACATTGGGCTGCCCCGCACTGCTGGGTCTGGGAAGCTGTACCCACTTCCACCTGTTTTAATTTTTTTGGCTTTTTGGATCACACCCGGCAATGCTCAGGGTTTACTTCTGGCTCTGCACTCGGGAATTACTCCTGGTGGGGCTCTGGGGACCCTATGGGGATGTTGGGGATCGAACCCAGGTTGGCCACACGCAAGGTAAATGCCCTCCCTGTTATACTATTGCTCTGTCCCCACCCTTTGTTTTATTGATGACTCCCGTTATTTTGTTTTTCCAAGGGAAGCAATTTAAACACAACCCGGTAAGAGATGCGCTGAGGTTGTACGAACGGCACCGACCAGGAGGCACTTCCGGCGGTACAAGGCGATGACGGACTCCTTGACGCCCCGCCGGGGGCCCTTCAGCAGCAGCGCTGCGTTGCTCTGGTAGGCGTACACCAGGTAGGAGAGAGCCTCTTGGTACCTGAGAAGACGGAGAACGACAGCTCAGGCCGCCTTCGCCAGCACCTGGGACGTCAACCTCACTCCAGCCAGTCACGTATTTGACTACAGCTACAGAGCAGTTAAGTAAGATACAGAGGAAGGAGAAGCGGAGGCAGCATGGGGCAAAGGGGCAAAAGATGGCAGCCAGGCTCAGCTCTTCGACGAATTGTTTGTTTGGGGGCCATACCTGGCGATGCTCGGGGGTTACTCCTGGCTTTGCACTCACTACTGGCAGTGCTTGGGGGACCCCATGGGATGCCAGGGATCGAACCCGGGTCAGTGGCATGGAAGGCCAATGCCCTACCTGCTGTACTATTGCTCCGGCCCCAGCTCTTCAACAAATTGGCCCAGAAAGCGAAGGCGTGCCATGAAATATCCTCCTTCCCCCTCACCTCGATTGAAACTGTAGTCGGTATTATATTGAGGTCTTTACCAATCGCTGGAGCGATAGCACAGCGATAGCACAGCGGTTAGGGCGTTCGCCTTACACGCGGCCAACATGGCCGACCCGAGTTCGATTCCTCCACCCCTCTCGGAGAGCCCGGCAAGCTACCGAGAGTATTCGATATGCCAGACACAGTAACAACAGAGTCTCCAATGGAGACGTTACTGGGCCCGCTCGAGCAAATCGACGATCAACGGGAGGGCCTTTACCTTTACCAATCCAAAAAAAATTTTTTTTTAAATTACTCTTTACATATCACACACACAAAAAAATCTGGCCATTATATCTCTTTCTTGATAAACTTATTATTATGTGAAGGAGGGAGAGCAAGAGTCATGCAACACTGGAACAAAACAGAGACACGGGGGTAAACGGGCTAAAGAACATGAAGCACTGCTGTGATTAGTAAGAGTCCTGGGCCACACCACTGACTGAGGGCATAGAAAGGTCAACATACTTTCCTTTCTGATAGAGCTCCAGGCCTGTGAGGAGATACACAGACACCTTTCGAAACAAACTATAATCTTCATGCCACTTCTGCAAAAGAAAACAATCACAATTAAGGATTACAAGAATAAGGAATTTCCACACTTTCTACCACCAGAAGTCATCACCCCCCCTACCCCGCCCACGCTTAGGATCAAATCCAGATCCCAAGCACGCAAGGCACACACTTTCACCATGAGCCACAGCCCAGCTAGTCCAATAATACAAAGAGTTTTTGAGAACATAAGGCCAGGTTCGATCCCCGGCATCCCATAAGGTCCCCCAAACACACAGCCAGATGCAAAAGCAATAAATGCAAACTTTTCAGATTAAAAATGCATTTAACACTTTGGGACAAAAGTCTAATCTTAAATTTCAAAGTCCTGTGCCTGTGAAATGGAAGATTTTGTTTGTTTGTTTGTTTGTGGTTTTGGACCACCCCTGGCAATGCTCAGGGGTTACTCTTGGATCTGCACTCAGGGAATCAATCCCAGTGATGCTTGAGGAAACATATGGGATGCCAGGCACCGAACTGGGGTCAGCCGGGTGCAAAGCAAAAGTCCTAAAACCACTGTACTAATGCTCTGGCCCTAGAAGATTTTGTTCATAGAAGCTTTAAATATATTAGCTTGTGTTATATAGAATATATAATCACACAATCACAACCATCCTGTTATTCATCGATTGCCTCGAGCAGGCCCCAGTAACATCTCCTTCATCCTAGCCCTGAGATTTTTTAAAAAAGTGCCATATTCAGGGTTCTTTCAGAGTTAGGAGAATGAGACCCTTCATTGTTACTAGTATTTGGCATACTGGGTATGCCATGGGGAGTTTGCCAGACTCTGCCGTGTGAGCAGGTTACATTCGGTAGCCTGCCAGTTTGTCCAAAGTAGGGATGAGATGATAAGATGTCATACGGCCGCTGAGCTGAGTGTGATAATCTCTGGATCCTGGCTGTTGTTGGGGTTATACGGCATTTGGTGGGTGTAACTGTCTAGCTATTGGCAGGTCCAGTCCCAAACCGTGTAGGCTTGGAGATCTCAGCCCCGGGTCCCACACAATTATAGAATATATAATATGTATATGTAATTTTTTTACATATAGATTTATATATAAAATCTCTACATATATTCATTTTGGTGCCCACACCTGGCTGTGCTCAGGGCACGCTGTGCAGTACTGGTGTGTTTCTAATCCAGGTGTGCTGTGTGCTAGCCCAACGCCTTACCCACTGAATTCTCTCTCCAGTCCTGAAGAATGCTATTTTTTTTTTTTTTGCTTTTTTGTTTTTTTGAGTCACACCCGGTAATGCTCAGGGGTTATCCTGGCTCTCCACTCAGGAACTACCCCTGGCGGTGCTCAGGGGACCATATGGGATGCTGGGAATTGAACCCGGGTCAGCCAGTGTAAGGCAAATACCCTAACCGCTGTGCTATCGCTCCAGCCCCAAGAATGCTATTTTCTTTTTCTTTTTTTTTTTTTTAATTTTTTTCCCCCTTTATTTTATTTTATTTTTTTTAAAGTTGTAGATTTACAATTTTTTGTGCTTTGGTTTCAATCATACAATGATCAGATACCCATCCCTCCACCAGTGCCCATCAAGAATGCTATTTTCTAAGACAAGGCTGAAGGTATTGAAGGGTTGATTCTAGTAGTAGGAGAATAAAGCTACTTTATAGATTTCATCTATTCTTATGGCCAAGTGGTATAATCTGGGAAGTGTAGGGTCAGGCAAGAGGGCAAATCCGATGACGAAATGGTCAGGCTTGCTCCAGGTGCAAGTATAAAAGAAAGACTACCTTATACTCCTCCATATTCATGTCATCTGGACCAATCTCCTTCAGTTTCGCTTGCGCCACCTTCATGATACTGATGGACCTGCTCGGAGGGGGGAAACAGCGCAGTGAGATGCGGTCATTCCACCTGCAGAGACGGCAGAACCGCGCCCTGAAAGGCGGGGAGGGGGAAACTCGCTGCCCCATTTCCTCCTCACCTTTCGTCATAGCTAAGATTTTTATCTGCAAACTGTTCCAGAAGGGTCCGTTCTACTACCCGCTTGGGCGCTTCGTTCTGGAAGAAGTAGACGAGCACGTGCTGAAGGCGGGGATCGCTGTGAGATGTGGGGGTCTCCTTGGCGAGCTGGTAGAGCCTGGCGTACTCCTCGTGGAAGGCCTGTCAGAGACACACGTGGTGGTCAGAGGAGGCGGCACCGTGGGCGGCTTCTGCACCCAGGGAGCGACTCTAAAAACACTTAGTTCCCGACCGAGAGACTTCAGAGTCCGAAACTTTTACAGTCACGGTCTGTAAGCGGTGAAATTGCCCTACCACTCAGGCACCAGAGAGTTCTACACTCACCAGAGCTTCCTTCGTTTTTCTCATGAAGTTCTCAAAATCATAATAAAAAATTTAAAAAACCCACTACTTAAATGCAATGGATCTATCCAAGTAAACTTCGATTTTATTTTATTCAAGTTTCTTGGGAAAAAAAAAAAACACAGCCTACTGTCTTAACACTGTGGCACCCAACTTACCAAGGCAATGTCTCATTCACAGCCTTACTAATAGACATTTCCCGGGGCTGGAGTGATAGTACAATGGGTAGGGCATTTGCCTTGCATGCGTCTGACCCGGGTTCGATTCCCAGCATCCCACATGGTTCCCCGAGCATCACCAGGAGTAATTTCTAAGTGCAAAGCCAGGAGCAACCCCTGTGGCATCGCCGGGTGTGACCCAAAAAGCAGGGGGGAAAAAAAAATTCCCAAGACCAGCAAGACCCAGGGTCGGGTGGCACAGGAGGGCAGTGCCCACTTCCTGCCACACAGAAGAGCAGCCAATCAAGCCACGGCAGGCCCTGAATTAGGCAGATGGGACATGGTATATCTGCTTTCCACGAAGACCGTTTTCCACCCCACTCGTCAGCACCCAACTGCGTTACTGTCTCTACGTGGTACAAGGGATTGAAAGGGAAAAAGCAGAGGTACCTTAATAAGCCCTGCTTCAGACCCGTCCCGGTCAAAGGTCGGCCGGGCTTTAGCTATTGCCAGGATGACCCCTTGCATGGCGGGGCTCAGCATCACCTGCCACAGGAGGGCACACAACACAGAGAAAAAGGAGAGAGAAACACAGGTTCAAAAGGCGACAGCGGGAGAGACAGGTGAGCGGGGGCTGGGGGCAGCGGACCTGCGGCTTCGTGGCCAGCAGCCGCTGCGGGTGAAGCTTCCCACGCTCCCTCCCGCCTCCACACGCTCCAGCCCCGTCCCACTACGCAACACAAAGGACCTCCCCCAGCCTGGTGTGCCCCCGTGCACTCTCTAATTTCGAGGATAAAGAAAGACACCCGTCTAAAAATAGCTCCCATATGGCACTGCAGAAGCAGCGAGTGAAATTATAGCTCTTGGGGAGGAAGTGTCTGTGGCGAGTATTCCAAACTCGCCCCACGGTTTCGGAGCAACAGCCTAAGGACGCAACAACCCTAGAGCTTTACTAGGAGGAATTTATGACACTGAAAAGTCTCGAGGGCCGGAGAGGTCCTTGCACTGCACACGGCCACCCCGGGATCAATCCCAGGCACCACATACGGTTCCCTAGGAACTGCCAGGAGTGATCCCTGAGCAGAGAGCCAGGAATAAGCCCTGACCACCAGTGGGTATGCCCCCTAGAAGCATTAATAAAATAATAACGTTTTAATGACATAGTCTTAACTACGTCCCCCAAGAATAACTAAAAGTCTAAAGGAAACGTCTCATGATCATCTTCATGCAGGGACAAGTGCAAAGCATATGACTAACTGGTGAGTTGACGGCTTCTTCCCAGGAGTTGAGAATAAAAACAGTCACCTCTGTTATGTTTGTTTTGCTCACAACTGAGACATTTATTTATGTTCAAAGGGGTAACAACGGACCAACATGACCCAAGACAAAAAAACAACCCCAAATCATTCCTAACTTAAAAACAAAAGGCAACTTCGGGCCCCACATTCGCAAAGGAATGAAACTCTACCTTTCTGAGTCATTGAGACTCTGGACAGATACTGGGAGAAGCCCACAACGTGGGAACAAGCAATTTTTTAAAAAAAACAATTGTAATGGAAGTCAAAAGCAGACAAGGCCCACCGGTCCGTTACTTGTTTCAGTAGAAAAATATTAACTATTCCCAGACACCTTTAAAAAAAAAAAAAGGTGGAGTCAACACGAGACAGGAACATCAGACTGACAACGAAGAGCTGGACCCTGCACTCAGGGCTGTACCTCCTCATCATAGCCGTCTGCATCGGATCTAACCAGAATCCGCCCCACACTGGGGATCTCGACTTCAGAGACCTCGGAATTAGGCTCGGCCACAGGCTCTGCGCCAGCAGCCTCGGGGGGCTGCTCTGACGGCTCTGCAAGCTTTTCCGGGGACCTGGGCTGCGTGGGGTTGGTTTCCTCACGCTGCGGCCGCAGAGAGTGGAAGAGAGAGAGAGAGAGAAAGAGAGAGAGAGAGAGAGAGAGAGAGAGAGAGAGAGGAAAGAAACGGGGACTGGTTAAATGTAGCAGAGACAGGGGAGTTGCAGAACAGTGAGACAATGGTGGAGTCAGAGAGTCAGTCCGTCTGTCTGTCTGTCCACCCGTCCGTCCGTCCGACCATCCATCCATCCATCCATCCATCCATCCATCCATCCATCCATCCACCCATCCTTCAGTCCATACCTCACTCAGGGCTGCTTCCACCCCGCTCTTTTCGTAGGCGCGGGCGGTGTTGGCGATGGCCTGGGCCGTCTGCTCCTTCACGATCACCGCGTGCTCCGATGACAGACAGCGAGCTCCATGAGAGGTAACGGCTGACTCTGGGAAAGGAGGACACAGAGGAATGAGCCCCATAGACGCTGTGAGAGGTGAGCTGCAGAGACATGAAGTTTAATATGCCAGCCTTCTAGCAAACTTTAAAACAAGAAGAAAAACAAATCCAAACCAGAATCCCTCCTAAAACTAGCAACAGAAACGGCTACTTGAACAAGCAGTCAGTCAGGATCGAGGAAAATTCAAGGTGTTCCCAACTCTGTCCACTTTCTTTGTGCCAAGACGGCCTTCTATAAACAACCAGCTCGTAGGAAGATCACTTGACAGAACTGCTTCCATCAAGTGTGTGTGGGTGGGGAGGTCGGGGGTTGCTATTACACACACCCCTACTAATTCTATCATGGTTTTCCTGAAACAATCTGGGAAGTAAGGAAAAAAAAAACAGTGAAAGGCCCAGTAGTGAGTTTTCCTGATACTCCTTTTTGCTCGTCCAAAACCAGACTCTAAAGCCACAACTCTTTCTGGCTGACTGTTCAACCGACTACACCTGAATCCCATTCACGGACTGGGGCTGGCTGCACCAGGACAGCCGGCTTTGGCAGTCTTCTCAGCTACCTTGTGATGTGGAGAAGTCTTGGGACGCTGAGTTGGCTGAGGATTCCATCTGAGGGATTTTGCAGGACTGCTCTTCCCACTCCTCTATTTCCTGCTCAAACCTCCAGTTGTCCTCCTGAATGTAATGCTTAAGCTCCACAGACAGAGCTTCCACTTCTCCTAGCATCTGATCTGCTTCTTTCCGAGCTGCATCTGAGGAAAGAACAACGGAGTTAAAGCAGAGTCAGAGCCATCAGCCGACGGTCACGGGAATCCAACGGGTCCTTCTAGAAGAAAGAAAATTTGACACTTGTCTTCTCTTTGACACCCAATGAAGTATACTTACATACATACATACATACATACATACATACATACATACATACATACATACATATGTGAGCCACTGGAAACACTGACAAAACAAAGCCAGTAGTCACAATACACCAGTAATACACAGTCCCTGGTATGTTAGGAAACAGGCACTCATTGAACACCTGCTGAATGAATGAATGAATGAGCAAATGAATTAAAGCGAAAGCAAGGAATCAGAAAAAGGGCCAATCGCTGTCCAAGTAATAAGAATGAACTAAACATTTCTTAAGAGATTCAGAAAATCATGGGGCCAGAGTGACAGTACAGGAGGTAGGGCATGTGCCTTGCATATGGGCTCTCCCTAAGTGCAGAACCAGGAGTACCAGCCCTGGGCACTGCTGGGTGTATCTCCCAAAGCAAAAGAAATTCAGAGAATCCATTAGATCCAGTGGAAGTTTCAAACCATCCAGTTCTATCAGTGGGACTACTGGCACCTATCACTGATGAGAATTCCTTCTAGAGAGTGAGGGGTGATTTTCAAGACTTCATACTGCCTTGAGTTTCACACGCTTGAGCGCTAACAGAGGCAGTTTGATATAATTAGGTGGTCAAAGACACCCTTGCGCATTCAAAGCTTAAATGAAAAATGTTAAGGACATATTAAGTCCAGTTTCTAACTTTGCAACCAACCAACAGCAAACCGAAAAACAACAGAACAATCTATCCACATATGGTTTGCTATTGACTAGTCTTTTTATTATTATTATTTTTTTGGCTTTTAGGGTCATACCCGGTGATGCTCAGGGGTTACTCCTGGCCCTGAGCTCAGGGATCACTCCTGGCGGTGCTCAGGGGACCACATGGGATGTTGGGGATTGAACCCTGGTCGGCCGCATGCAAGCTGTCTTTTGCCCTACCAGCTGTATTATCACTCCAGCTCCTAACTTGTTTAACCAAGCAGATGAGGCTCTACTTGTCTGTGCTCATAATATAAAAATGAGGGACAGGGGAGTTAACCCAGGTGGCAGAGAACAGGCCCAGCACATAGGGCAGTGAGTATAATAACTGACACTGCTGGCCCCGAGTCATCACCCGCCACAGTGGCTGAGTGCTGCTAGGAATGGCCCCAGGTCTCTGAGCACTGCTAGCTGGGATCCCTATTTTTTTTTTTAAAGAGCTCTATAACTAATCTCACGAAGCCTACAGACCACCAACAGTCACTTTGTACAGTAATTCCCACAAACTGCTGTTTCCGCCTTCACACTGCAAATATGCCGTCGTGAAGATCAACCGCTGTGACACGTTCCTGCTGCCCACCCCTGATCCGCTAGTCACGCTGGCAACTCAGAAAGGCGATGAATGGGCTGCCTGCTCACGTGGTTTACGTGTCCTCTTCACTGTACCACCTAGCAGGGTTAGCTATGTGAAAGAAAAGGCCCACGAAGACCTGAGATGCGTGGAACGCTGACCAGGAGACCTCTCACAGAAGGGAGAAAAGGACAGTCACACAAAAGGAATTGAGGAAAGAATTTTCAGCTGGAGTCAATTTGAATCTTGGTTCTGCTGTTACAGACCGGAGGGAGATCCTGAACAACCAGAGCCTCAGCTGGGAAACGTGGAGCACAGCTAGAAGAGGCCCCACACCCCTCACAAAGATGGGTGTGGACCCTAAGTTCCTCTCCTCCCTTCCTCTCGCTTTTGGAGCCAGAAACTACCGCGAAAATATTTCAAAGGTGTGCAGTCATGAGCAAAGGACAAACGTATGCAATTATTATTGCCCTGAGCATGAATGAGTGGCAGCGTTATGAGAAATAGGAAACCATTCAGGCAAATGCATATATAAAATTTAGAGGTTCTCAAAGGGTGCTAACATGTGTGCACAGGACGGCACTGGAATAAGATCAAAATGAAACAAAACTCGAAGAAAGAGCTGAAGTAGGGATTGCAGGTCCCTGTGGTGAAAATGAGTCCAGGACAGAACTCAGGAGCTGTTGCCTGACAGGTGGATACCTCACCACTGTGCCACATCCCGGGGGCCCCAGGTTTACATTTTTAAGAACCACATACTGGGGGCTGGAGCAATAGTACAGTGGGAAGGGCACTTGCCTTGCACGCAGCCAACCCAAGTTCAATCCCCGGCATCCCACATGGTTCCCCAAGCACTGCAGAGTAACGCCTGAATACAGAGCCAGGAGGAACCCCTGAGCATTGCTGGGTGCGACCCAAAAAGAAAAAAAGAAATAAAGAGGGGCTGGAGAGATAGCACATCGGGTAGGGCATTTGCCTTGAACGCGGCTGACCCGGGTTCAATTCCCAGCATCCCATATGGTCCCCTGAGTACCACCAAGAGTAACTCCTGAGTGCAGAGTCAGGAGTAACCCCTGTGCATCGCCGGGTGTGACCCAAAAAGAAAAAAAAAAAAGAAATAAAGAACCATATATTGTTTAGGGCTGGAGCAATAGTACAACAAGTACAACAAGTAGGGCGTTTGCCTTGCATGAGGCTGACCCAGGTTCAATTCCCAGCATCCCATATGGTCCCCCAAGCACCACCAGAAGTGATTTCCAAGTGCAGAGCCAGGAACTCCTGAACATTGCCAGGTGTGTCGCCCCAAAACAAAAAAACAAAACCAAAAAGCAGCACATATTTTTTCCTTCCATGAGCTGTCCAGACCACTCCCCTCCTTCTTCCCCCATCTCCAGCTCACGGGAAGACAACCTCACCTGCATTCACGTGGGGGAGCTTGTCGTTTATGTACATCAGACAGTAAGCGCTGACATTTCTCAGTCCTCCATAAGAATCTCTTTCCAGTTCTTCCCAAGAAGACTCAGTAACAGAGATGTCGTTGTACTTGAGCCAGACCTGTCGGGCCGGGTTGTAGATGTAGGCCCAGTAGTGGCCAGCATTTGCTTGTCCTTCATGAACAAGAACCGCGTGGAGGCGGTAAGGCACCTGAAACCAAAAGGCACATTCCTGTGTGACACTGAGAAAAACAACCCATCAGGGTGATCAGAATTACTCACCCCTCTCGACACGGGAAAGCTTGCCCATGGGAAGTGGGTTTGATATAAAGTTCACATCGAAACATTCTGACTGATGGGCAGCTAACAGCGTGGAACCTACCAATCCTGGGACCGTGGGGCAATCTTTAAGGGCAAAGTACAGGACTTCCCCGAGGACTCTCCCAATCCTAAACTCGTCACCTGATCAGAAACCAAAGTAGTCTCAATCTATTTATCTATCCAATTTACAGGTAAATTCAGTTTACCTGTGAATGGAGTCATCTCGCCGCCCTCATGAAGATCAAATGTTTGTAGCACTGGGGTCCCACCGGGAGCCGAGCACTCTTTTGTACTATCCCTATTTATAAATCAGCACATTTTATTCTGAAGGCATGTTCACGTGTGCTCTGTATTTTTCTGCTTTTGTTTTGAGACCTCACATGGCAGTGCTGAGGGCTTACTCCTGACTCTGTGCTCGGGGATCACATCTGGTGGTGTTCTAGGGACCCTCTGGGCCACTGGGTATCAAGTCTGGGTCAGCCACATGCAAGGCAATCACCTTGCCTGCAAGACTCTCTCTGTCTCTAGTCCTTATATCGCAGACTAAAATGCAATCATCCACCTACCTCAGATGAAAACAGATCGATCCACCGGTCTATCTATCTATGGGCTACACCTGGTGGTACTCAAGGGGACCACGTGCTGCCGGGATCAAACCAGGGCCAGCTCTATGCAAGGCAAGCACTTTTCATGCCCGTTCTATCTGGCCTGACATAGACGCCTTTATACTTGTTTGCTTCAGCACTTGGAAAGCAAGAGCACTTTTCCAGATGGAGAACTCAAGAGCAATGTTTGAGTTTCAAGGGAAGAACTGATGTAAAAAATCAGTCACAGTGTCAAATCCAACTTAGACTTAACCCACACCTTGACATTTTTTTTTTTAATCTACTGGAGGCAGGGCTGCCAAGTAATGCCCAAGTGGCCCCAGGGCCAACGGGCCAACGGTTTAACGTGAGGGCCTGAGAGGACTTGGAGCTGGGGCTGGCTGTGTGCAAGGCAAGTTCTTTAAATCCGCTTCTCACTCCAGGCCTGGTGGTGAAAATTTTGAAATGTAAAACAGAAAATTTCAAGTAACACAGCAGAACTGTGCCTTCAGGCCACCCCGGAGACGGAGCTTCTCTCCAGCCAGTCACACAAAAGTCACCGAGAGCTGCTCAAGCCCCAAAGTGGAATCCTTTCTGGCCCCTCCATGCCCAAACTGTTATTTATAGCAGAAGTCCAGGTGGAGAGACAGCACCATGGGCTGAGTGGCCAAGCGCATGCTTCGCATGCAAGAGGACCAGGTTTGATCTCCGATGCCAAGGGTGGACAGGCTGGGAGCAACCCTCCACCCTGGGCTTGGAGTAGCCCATGAGCACCACTGGACGTGGCCCTGAAAGAGGAAATCCTTTCCAAAAAAACTCCATGTGGAAAATAGTCATTTCTGCACGGCCCTCCTCCCTTTCAGAGTAATTGGAAATTAAGCTTAAAAGCTTGCCAAGAGAAAGACTATGAAGAATCACTTCAGAAAGGATGAGTAACCTGCCCCCTAATTCAAGGTTTCCCCAGGGCACGACTTACATCATCATTTGTTAAGATAGTTTTATTAATGTTTGGCAGCAAACCCTTCTACCGTATAGAAAAACTCCCATGCAGAAAAATGAAGATCAAGCTTGAAAGTTCAGAAGCAATGCTTCTTTAGTCTAAAAAGAATGGAGTACTGGGGTCAGACAGCTAGTAAAGAATTTAAGACCCTTGGGGGCTGGAGCAATAGCACAGCAGGTAGGGTGTTTGCCTTGCACGCAGCCGACCCAGGTTCGATTCCCAGCATCCCATATAGTCCCCTGAGCACCACCAGGAGTAACCCCTGTGCATCGTCGGGTGTGACCCAAAAAGCAAATAAATAATTTAAGACCCTTGAGAGATGCCTTCAAACCCCGTGCCAGGCTGAGTCTTATCTGAGGCACCCCGGAGGGGTCAGGTGAGCCCACCACCCACACAAAAAGAGTCACAGTAGTTGTAAACCTCCAGAACCCAGTTGCATGGCCACACGGCCCATCTTCACAGGCTCGAGTTGAGCCTCATCCATGAACCAATCTGTTGAAAAACTCAGGTTTGCAGATTTTGTGAACAAAATCTCCAAGCCCTCATGGAGTTGGGGATGGGCGACCTTCCTTCATCTCCCTGTTATTCCAGGAGCCTGGCAGTCACGTTCAGGAACTGCCTCTGGAGCCATATAAATAAGCTCAGTAACTGGCCATGATCCAGAGACTCACAAATAAATCTCAAAAGAGATCAGTGAACTGCAAAGATGCCTCTGGACGCCACAGTCACCATACAGTTAAAAATTTAACTCCGGCTGTACCACTCCACTCAAAAGTTTAGAATTCCTGGAGTGACATCTCATACTCTACACCACTCATGTACCAGGAGTAGCACATCACATTAAGTGGAATATAAAGCAGAAGCTCGGAATATAAAGCAGAAGGCAACCAATCTCAATTAAAAAAATATTAGCACACAAGGCTCAACAACACCTTAGTAATCTCTTATATAAGGGCTTAATGGCTCCAGGGTGAGACAGAACAATCTTCACACAACTTTCTTCTAAGGAAATCTTTTTGATCATTTTCAGCAATTATTCTTAACAAGCAATACAAAATAAATCATTTCGGGCCTGCTATTGGGGCAGGCCTGGGTGGTGGTTGGGAAAATCTGAAATAATGATGATGGGATTGGTGCTGGAATACTGAATGCAATTAATTACTCTGAACAAGTTTATAAAGATAAATTTTAAAAAATAATAAAGAATGTAAGACCCTTGCCTTGCACATGGCCAATCCTGGCTCAATCACTGGCACCCTATATGGTCTTCTCCAAGCATCAGGAGTGATCCCTGAGCACAGAGCCAGTCGTACGGTGGGAACACCTCTGGGTATGCCCCCACATCACAATGAAACAATACTGTAATACCTAACTCCTCTGAAATGTATTCTTATGTTTCAGGCAGCTTCCCATCTAGTTTCAAAGAAAGCTATCAAATTTTTAATTTTGTATCTATCACGAGCACAGGCAAGACAATCAAGTCTTGATTAATTACTTTCCCATCCATTTTATTCACCTGATGAAGAAGAGGATCGCAGTACATCTGCTCAATTGCCTGGGTAGTGCTTGCAATACAATTCTTTAAGTCTGTTAAAAAATAAATAAAAACAATTAGCTAAAATTATCTCAATCTAGGACACTTAAGTTTCTTCAACTAAACAAAGAATTTTGCTTATTCTCTGAGGTTCTGATGATTGGTTACTTTACTCCATGAGAGAGCATAAGGGTTTTTGTTTTTGTTTTAATCAAACATTTTCATGAGGACACCTGGCAGTGCTTAGAGGACCATATGGGTTGCCAGGGACCATAAGTTCAGGTGCAAGAATGGCAAACGCCTTACCCACTGGGCTGTCTCTCCAGCCTGAGAGCATAAGGTTCTTAAGGCAGGCGATGAAAGCTTTTAGCTTAATGTAATTAGACTTATATAACCTGATAGCATACACAGCCTAGGTAATAGCAATATCTAATAATACCATGGCTTGAAAAAAAATAATCTCATGTAATTGGTACTGAGATTTCTTGAAGAGGGAACACAAACTCTATTTAGCAAAAAGCTTCAATAAGTTACTTGGGCGTAAAATAATATCCCCAGGACTTGAAAAGGAGAAGGCAGAGCAAAAGGCTGGGCTAGATTCCTGAAGGCTAGGAACTTGGGAGGGAAATCTTGATATTTTTCTTCCCTGGATAAGAGAAGAAGAGAATAGACTGTTTGAACAACACAACAAAGAGGCCCAGGAACTGGAAGCACAGCATGCGGAATGAGTCCATTTCAAGCTGTTCACGCTGCTGAAATACCCTCCACCTCGTCATCTTCAGTGAAATATAATTTACAGAGAAAAGACTTTTAAAAGTAGTCGTCAAGGGAAGTGAACGCTACGCTTCCCAAACTGGAAGCCAGAATCAGGTAACCACCAGGAACGGAAACCTTCGAACAGAGAAAAATCCCAGCCACATCCGGATTCCCCACACGTCCCAGGAAGTCCCAGACGTAATGAGGAAGGAAATCAGGAAGTGTCTTCGCACAGTTGTTTAATGGGACACAAAAACTGGGACAAAAATTCAACTGCATAATACAGCAATGGCAGGAAGTGACCCAAAATCCCAGTATTCCAACAGAAAAGTCAAAAGGTTACAGATGATGTGCTTTGCTGGTGCCGGGACTCGAACCTGGGGCCTCCTACAGGCAATCAAATGCTGACCACTGAGCCACAGGACCCAGACCCAGGCAGGTCTGACAAGAGCCAACCTTGTATATCTTGTTCAATCTCGCTCCTCCACCTCTGGAGACAGGTCTTCACAAAGTTTATCTCCTCATCCGTAACTGTCCGAGGAGCGGGGTGTGCGGGCATTTCCAAGGAAGTCCGGGAAGGTGGAAGTGTCTTACTCATCGTCTTAAGCTTGAGTAACGAATCTTCGGAAGAAAATGTGCCTTCGCCATCCTGAGAAGAGGCTTCTTTGCTTGTACTGAAGGAAGAAAGAAATCACACTCATATGGAAGACAGAAACCACGCTCATATGGTAATTCTCAAGGGATATTTTGGCCTCCAGCCAGCTGGATGGAAAATACAGTTATTTTTGAGCACGTACTCTGCAGAGGTATGGAGTCAAACCATACCTCTTTCTTTACAGGTATTTTTTCCTTTATAGGTATCTCATTTAACACAAATTGATTATGAGGCAGATGCTATTACTATTCCGATTTAAGACCGATTACAGTGTTAGAGAAATTAAGCAATTCACCAAAGTTCACCCAACTATTGAGGGATAAGAATTTATTAGTGGCCTGCTCCCTGCCCTGACAAGGCCTCAAGTTGCTGCCCATGAACGCCTCCTCCGGCTCCTGAACAGTCAATGATCCTAGAAGCACAAAAACCAATCTTGGAACCCAGTGGCTTTGGGCAGAAACGCATCTGGATTATGCATTAAACGATGGTGCCGTGCCACCCTGGGAGGGAAAGGGTGTTTGTCCCTCCATTTTTTCCCCCTGGCGGTGGCGGCATGGTGGCCGCCATCTTTCAGAGCCTAATGGACAGCCAGGTATGAGACTGCAGTGAGGAGGCATGGGGGGCCTCATGGGATGGGGAGGTGGAACCGGCCCTGCTCCCCGCCCTTACGAGGCCCCGAGTTGCCGCCACGAACGCCTCCTCGGCTCCTGAGTGGCTATGATCCCAGAGGCACACAAACCAATCTCAGAACCCAGTGGCTTTTGGCAGAAATCCCTCCAGACTTACTACTAAAATATCAGAAATCCAAAATCTATTGGATTTTGCGGCCGCTATTGTGGCCGTGCGACATCATATGTTCTTCATAATCAGCAATAGAAAACAAATTATCTAATGATGCCTTTTTGGCAGGTCAGATTGTCGGGGAAAATTTCAAATAATAATGGTGGGTCTTTTGTCGTAATATTGAATGTGAAGCAAGTAGAGAGAGAGTAAAGTGGAAATCTTCTGCCACTCAGGCAGAGGGAGGAGTAGGTATACTGGGGTTCTTGGGGGTGGAAAATGTGCACTGGTGAAGGGATGGGTGTTTGATCATTGTATGACCAAGACTAAACTGGAAAGCTTTGTGGCTGTTCTCACGGTGATTCAATAAATAAAAAATTAAAAAAAAATTTATTAGTGGGCCGGAGAGAGAGTACAACAGGGAGGGTGTTTGCCTTGCACTCAGATGACCTGGGTTCGATCTGCAGCATCCTGTAAAGTCCCCCAAGCACCACCAGGAGTAATTCTTGACTGCAAAACCAGGAACATTGCTAGGTGTGCCCGGAACAAATAAACCAAAAAATTTGTTGATTTGGGGCAGTGCTCAAGCATTACACATGGCTCTGCACACAGGAATTGCTCCTGGCAGGCACAGGGGACCATATGGCAAGAGCCTGACTTGCTGTACTAGCACTCTGCCCCTAATGGATTAAGAATTTAAACTTGGATCTACCCGGTTCTCTGACTCTGGCTCTCTGCACACTTACAATACCTTCTCACAAGGAAGGAATGAGAAGAAAAATGGACACGATTGGGCACTGGGATCAAGAAGAAAGGAATCGACTACTCGGTTTTGAAGATTCAACAGACTAAAGCAAGGTTCTCCCCACCCTACCCCCCAGGAACAAAAGAAAAAAAAAATCAGCAGAGAATTACTAAGTGGCACCCGGAGAGAAGATGGGCAGGAATAAATGTCAGATGGCCCCCAGGGCTACAGTCCGGAGTTAAACACCAAAGGAAAAATACTAGCCTCAGCCAAGCAATGTAATACTCTAGCTATAAAACACAAAAGGACCATTTTTTTAAAATTTTACATCCCGCTGTTAAGTAACAATAAAATATGCAGAGTAATTCTGATCAATCACATAAATTCACAGAGACGAAACAGCAGGAATAATGAAGTTTCTGTTCCCTACCAAAACTGAACAACGTAAATAAATACACAACTTTAACTTTGGTTCTTTTTTTATGGGCTGGGGTGGCGGGGGTATAGTGCTGGGGATCAAACCCAGGTCTCCTGCACACCTGGCACAGATGTCACTGCTGTGCCACATCCCGGATGCCCTTTAGCTAGGCCTTAAGAGAAACCACCCCCGACCCACAAAATAATGGACTCGTATCTCTAGTGACCCACATATATAGAAAACTCAGCCTAATGTAAGAGCAAGAAAGCAGGTATTTTGGGGCTGGAGCGACAGCACAGCAGGCAGGGCATTTGCCTTGCATGCGGCCGACCCAGGTTCAATTTCCAGCATCCCATATGGTCCCCTGAACACCGCCAGGAGTGATTTCTGAATGCAGAGCCAGGAGTAACCCGAGTACCACTGGGTGTGACCCAAAAAGCAAAAGCAAAAGCAAAAAAAAAAAAAAAGAATTCATTAAAAAAATTTTAAGAAAGCAGGATGGAGCGATAGCATAGCAGGCAAGGTGTTTGCCTTGCACGCGGCCGACCCAGGTTCAATTCTTCCATCCCTCTCAGAGAGCCCGGAAAGCTACCCAGAGTATTCCGCCCACACGGAAAAGCCTGGCAAGCTACCCGTGACGTATTTGATATGCCAAGAACAGTAACAACAAGTCTCACAATGGAGACATTACTGGTGCCCACTTGAGCAAATCGATGAACAACGGGATGACAGTGCTACAGACAGTGCTTTTAAAAAGCAGGTATATTAATACCATAAGTTGTTCCGGGTTCTAGGTGGTCACTTTAAAAACCTAATAATACCAGGCAATCGGACTTTGTGATTGAATAACCTTCCCAATTACTCTTGTTTTGTTGTGGGGCAAAAAGCGGCCCCACTCTGCTAGGGGGATGACGGGGCGGGGGGGGGGGGGTGGCAGGCAGGGAGTGAACTGAACACAGGATTTGAAGGTTTGAATTATTAAGCCCAGGACTATGGGTTCCCAAGTGGCGAGATGGACAGAGAAGTGAACAGGATAATGCAAAAGCAGCAGGAGTTTTGTCCCAGTATACTGGGGTCAACTATCTCACCCAGAGCGGCCTCATGATAGCGAACCCAACTTTCAAGTGCAAGCAGTTTATACAGGATTTGATTACATCAGCAGCACATGCCTTATTGTTTCAGAAAGAAACCTGATTTAGTTACCCAACAAAGGTGTTCTGGCAAGTGTCCAGGGTAACAGTGGTCAGGCAATAGTTAAACAATAGTTCCCACTAGCAATTTATGGTTACATATCCCACTCATTCTTTTAGGGTAAACTAAAGGCAATTTCTGGGGCACCGTGATTGATTGATTGAGCCCATTTGCTGGGCCCAGGAACTTTCCCAGGTGGGTTCAGGTTGGCTAGTTACACATTGTTTCACTGCTGGGAAACCGAGACTGTTTCAGTTCCAGGAACTGAACCTGGGCCTACTTGAATTTTCTCATTTCTGCCGCTGCTTGAATAATCGCGGGTGCTAAAGGCCTCTGAGGCCCTGGCCAGACACTGTTTTTTTTTTTTCTTTTTGGGTCACACCCAGTGACGCTCAGAGGTTACTCCTGGCTCTGCACTCAGAAATTACTCCTGGCAGTGCTTGGGGGACCATAAGGGAGGCCGAGGATCGAACCCAGGTCGGCCGTGTGCAAGGCAAACGCCCTCCGCATTGTACTATCACTCTGGCCCCTGGTCAGACACTGTTTAAAAAATGAAAACCATTTTTATTCCCAGAGGGACAAGAAAATCTCGTATGAAAAAATCCAGATTGGTGATTGCCACTCAATGCCTCTTTTGCAAACCACAACACCCAAAAGGAGAGAGAGAACAAAAGGGAATGCCCTGCCACAGAGGCAGGGTGGGATGGGAGGATGGGGGGTGGGAGGGATACTGGGATCCGTGGTGGTGGGAAATGGGCACTGGTGGAGGGATGGGTATTTGATCATTGTATAACTGAAACCCAAGCACAAAAATTTGTAAGTCTACAACTGTACCTCATGGTGTCTCACTAATAAAAAAAAAAAAAAATCCAGATAGGGCTGAGAGACAGTACAGAGGGGAGGGCGCTTGCCTGGCACATAGCCAACCGGGGTTGGATCCCACCAGGAATGACACTTCAACACAGAGCCAGGAGTAAGCCCTGACCACTGCCCAGTGCGGCCCTAAAACAGAAAAAAAAAAGGTAAAAGGTAAAGGCCCTCCCATTGACCATCGATTTGCTTGAGCGGGCCCAGTAACGTCTCCATTGGAGACTTTGTTGTTACTGTGTTTGGCATATCAAATACGTCACGGGGAGCTTGCCAGGCTCTGCTGCGCGGGCGAGATACTCTCGGCAGCTTGCCGGGCTCTCTGAGAGGGGCGGAGGAATCGAACTCGGGTCGGCCATGTTGGCCGCTTGTAAGGCAAACGCCCTACCGCTGTGCTATCGCTCCAGCCCAAAACAGAAAAAAAAAAAATCCAAACACACCGAGTGTAAAAGTGAAAGGATTCTCCATTCTAGACCTCTGCCAACCCCACGATCAGAGTGAGGACCATCTCTCCTGCCCTGGGCCACTGGAGGATTTATGACATCTGCAGGTCCTACTCACACAGGCTGACGGGCAGCAGCAGCCAGCGTATGTGGCTGTGATGTCTTTGGCCAGAGCCAGGCCATGTGATTTTGCAGTTTGACATGGCCCAAGGGCTGGATATGCCCCCGAGATAAGTCATGCTTAATACCTGGCACATCTTACTCCTAACAGGCATTTCTAGGTAGACAAAGAAGACCAAAAATAAATGTGAGGGTGGGGGTGAGAAATTAGGGGTCTAGGTGGCTTTTTTTTTTTCCTTTTTGGATCACACCTGGTGATGCACAGGGGTTACTCCTAGCTCTGCACTCAGAAATTACTCCTAGCGGTGTTCAGGGGTTCATATGGGGTGCTGGGAATCGAACCTGGGTCGGCCGCGTGCAAGGCAAGTGCCCTACCTGCTGTCCTATCACTCCAGCCCCAATAGGTGACTTTCTTAGCATTAAAGCCTAAAACATTTGAACGGTGGATCCTAGGGTTGTTGGTTTCTGTTTTGGGGTCACACCCGGCAATCCTGGGGATCGGCGGTAACCTATGGGTGGCCCATCGGTCAGCAGGCTGGAAGGGAGGTGCTGGGAGTGGATTTGAGATTCACCCCTTCATGGAAGGCCTCCGTTGGCAGCCAGCTCACAGCCGACTCACAGCAGCACTTCGCTGGCACATGAACTATGCCAGGCAGTTCAACAGGCCTTGGGAATAATCCCGACCATCCCAGGGGGCAGGGGGCCAACATAAGCGCACGGGTGGGCACGATGAAGATTACCAGACGTGTGAGAGTGAGCAGCGCTTTCTCCTAGGGAGCCTGCAGCCGCCACATGCTTTCGGAGGGGCTGTTTGTTCATAGGGAGGTAAGGTCGGTCCCCATCAAACAAGCGGACCAAGGGAAGCACCAAGGGTGCCACTGACACCTGCGTTTACCTCTCCTCGGGTGCTGGGTCAGCAGGCGGGAAGGGCGCTGAAGGGAGCGGCAACGTCACACGAGCGTCACTCTGCGGCGTGGGGTTTTCTGAGGCAGGTTTCGTGCTGGCAAACTCAATGACGTATTTCAGCATGTCCGGGAGCGGGAACTGAGTGGGGCCCGAGCCGTACTTCACGTACCTGAGGAGGCCAAGACAGTGGGACTCACTAGACGGGCCGGGCTGACAAGTCCGTTAAAGAGTGGAGCCAACGGGAAGGAAAAAAAAAAACTTCGATCCTCAAGGCTGCGGTTATTCACCTAGGCTCAAGGGTAAAAAAGTCCTCTAGCTACAAAAGTGAGAATTCACAACCCTAAATTGTTCCACTTGGCAGGAAACGGTTTTCAAAGTCATGCCAGCTATGTGTTCCCTTGATAACACTCTCATGGTTAGGGTCTGGTCGGCAAAGAAAAATTCTGTGTCTAAAAAAAGAAAATAATCAAAGACATGTACTCAAACCTTAAAAAAAAAAAAGATGCTAGTCTAACACTTTAGAGTTTAGACCACTTTGCAATGAAGACAGGTCAGAGAAAGGTAAGGCTTACAGAAATTCGGAAATAGAGTATGAAAGAAAAAATTTTTTAAAGTACTATTTTAAAGTAAAATGAGGGGCCAACGAGCTGGTACAGGAGGGGTAGGTGCTTTGCCCATGGCTGACCTGGGTTCTATCCCTGGCACCTCATGGACCCCCTAGCACCACACAGTCTGACCACACACTGAGGCTCTAGCAGGAACGCAGCCTGGTTGGCTGAGATTTGCCGAGAGGGGCCTCCTCCACTCCCACCTCCCACCTTCAAATCTCCCAAAAGTAAAAGTCAAATGAGGGGCTCACTCCAAAGTCCTGAGGTGCATGCTTTTGTGTTTTGCGGGCAGGAAGCTGAGGTTCTGTTCCCAAAATGTCTAGCACAGAGCAGGACTAGCCCCCAACCACCAGGGGAATTGTCAAAAAAAAAAAAAAAAACTGAATAAATTGGGGATATCTGATTTTCAACAATCAGATCTATTTATTTGCAAAAAGGCAATAAAAACTTTCCCATCTTACAAACAATACAGTGAAACTAAACCTCACAGATGAAAACCTGTAACTCATGTCCAGGATGCTATCTGAGAGGGAGTGTGTGATTCCAGTCTGATCACAGTACACCTTGGCTAAATTCCTCCAGAGCGAGGGCTGGGGGCCAGCGGGGTTGGCAGCAGCAGGGCTGATTAGAGTCAGGGAGGGACACGGGTGACCCAGGAACTGGCGGGGTGCGGGGTAGACAGGGGCAGCCAAACCAGGAAGCAGACGAAGGGGAAAGCACGACCTTGATTCTGTCTGGGATATCTGGGGCCGGTGGCTGTCGGGGGCTGCCGAGTACAGCTTAGCTGCGGGACTACGGCTGATGGTGCCTGGGCAGTCACGTAGAGCAGGGACCGAAGCACGGCAGGGCCTGTACACAGGGAGCACATGGGCTGCCCCTTTGGGCTAGCTCCAAGCTGTTAAGATTTCTTTCTTCAAGGTCTCATCAACAGAATTTACTTAATTTTTGTTTTATTTTCTTGGTTTGGGGACTACACCCAGCGGTGCTTCAGGGCTGAGTCCTAGCTCCATGCTCAGGGCTGACTCCTATCTCTGCGCTCAGGGCTGACTCCTAGCTCTGTGCTTAGGGCTAACTCCTGGCTCTGTGCTCAGGGCTGACTCTTGGCTCTAAGCTCAGGGGTGACTTCTGGCTCTGTGCTTAGGGATCACTCCTGTCTCTGTGCTCAGGATTGACTCCTGGTTTTGCACTCAGGGCTGACTCCTATCTCTATGCTCAGGGCTGACTCCTATCTCTGTGCTAAGGGCTGACTCCTGGCTCTGTGCTCAGGGATCACTCCTATCTAGAAAACAACTGCCTCACCTCTTCTTTAAAAGTTGCAAGGTGATCCCACAAAATACATCCTAGAGCAAAGTAAAGGGGAAAGATTCTCCAGAAGAGATGGGGCTTTGTCTGGGTCAGAAATATTAGCCCTGGGGCTGAGGGCCAGTTCAAAGGCTGGAGAGACTGTAGGACAAGCAGAGGGCCCTGGGCTATATCCCTCGAACCACATGACTGCCCCTCTGAGACTGGCTAGGGAGAGCCTCAGAGGCCCCAGCCCTGCAGGGTCCCAGCAGCATCCAGAATGCTGGGTTGCACCATCTGGTCATGCAGGCTAAGTACTGGGGGGGGGGGGGGAAGGAGTCCCTACTTGGGAGGCCCACACCACACACACACACACACACACACACACACACACACACACACACACACACACACATCCCAATGTACATATATACATTTATCCCCCAAAGAAATAACACACACACATAATGAAATATCAGCCTCTGGAATCAGCGTTGCTTGCAGTAGAATGGCCTTGTTTTACATTTTTGCTTATCCAAGACATTCCAGAAACTGCTTTGCGAGGGGGAGGGAAGCGCAAAGGCTCTACCTAGACATAGGGGGAACATGAGCCCTGTCAGCTCACCTTCAAGAAGGCCATACACTCAGGAAACACTTCTCCTTGCCATCCAGAAAGAAATGCACTGCTATGCACTGCTTGATACTCAAAACGGCTTTAAAGGTTAAATATAAATCTGCTGGCTTTTAACCTTTACTTTGGGTGCTGTGGGGGTGGGGTGGGTGGGGAGAGGGGTTTGCACACCCAGCAATGCTGAGAACAGAACCTGGGGTCCCACATGCAAAGCATGTGCCCCAGAACCCAGAGCCCCGGCATCCTGTGCTACTTCCTTCCTTTTACATTTCTAATCACAAAGGTGTCCAAGACTCACCTTTCCAGTTTTTGCTGCAGAACTTCTATTTCCTCTTTTAGCTTCCGGATACATTTCCTCTTTGATCGAATAAGCTCTTTGCTCCTGTACATGTACCTAAGAGGAAATGATAAGCCCCAAAATACAGTTTATTGTGTTGACAGTTATCCTGAAATCTAAAAATTATGTTTCTGAAAGATTACATTTAGGAACATTACTGGCACAAAAATCTCGGCAAAATAGGGATTCGGTGGATGTACGCTAGGGTCCACAAGTTTGCAATTCTAAGAAGCTCGCAGGGAGAGGGGATGCTTCTTATCTGTGGATCGCGCTGTGAGGGCTGAAACTGTGCCCAGCCTCTGGGTGCCCCGAAGGTGCCATCCACTTCCGCCACACTTACTCCTGCTGCGGCAACACAGCAAGATGTTAACCTCCACAGCACTCACCTGTCCATGTAAATGATCTGAGGAAATTCCAGCTTATTGTGAATTTTCTCTGGCTGACCGAGTGACTGATTAAACTCGAATCTTGAGAGTTCAAAGGTCAATACCGGAGGTAGCTTTGTAAACCAACGCTATGCCAGGAGCAGAAACGAGGAGAAAGAAGTTAATATGAGGAAGTCACAAGAGTCAGATTCAAACTATCTCTCATCATATTTTCTCCCTTGGTATATAATTTAAGTTCATATCAAGCCTGTACTAGTGCTTAAAAAAAAAAATCCCCAATACTAAAGAGAAAGACCATTTAGAATCATTCCCACGTGGGGCCGGAGTCATAAGAATAGCAGCTAGGGTATTTGCCTTACACGCGGCTGATGTGGGTATGATCCCCTGCGTCCCATATGGTGCCCCCAAGCACTGCCAGGAGTAATTTCAGAGCCAGGAGTAACCCCCGAGCATCGCTTGGGGTGACCCAAAAGGAAAATAATTTTTTTTAAATTAAAATAATTTATATTCATTTCCTCTTAAGGAATGTGGCTAAAAACTCAAGTCTCCGAATTGACAAGTCAGTCAAGAACATTTACTCGGCTACCATCCTTAGAAATAACCACTCTTGGGGAAGAAAAGGGGGGATGAGAAGGCGAACAGACAGTGGTGGAGGGTGGTGGGGTAACAGTGTGTACTTGAATATTAGCACAAATGCAAATCCTGTGTGACCTTATTAACCTTATTAACAAGGCAATGATAATAAAAAAAAAAGTTCTGAATATGTTGGATTGCACAAGTACCTATGTAGCACTGTAGCACTGTCCTCCTGTTGTTCATCGATTTGCTCGAGCGGGCACAGTAACATCTCCATTGTGAGACTTGGTATTACTGTTTTTGGCATACTGAATACACCACAGGGAGCTTACCAGGCTCTGCCATGCAGGCGGGATACTCTTGGTAGCTTGCCAAGCTCTCCGAGAGGGACAGAGGAATCGAACCCGGGTCAGCCGTGTGCAAGGCAAATGCCCTACCTGCTGTGCTATTGCTCCAGCCCCCAAGCACCTATACGACACGCAAAGTCATCAGTATTCAGAAGGTTCAAACCCTGAAGAGAACAGCTTGCCTAAACAGACTTGGAAATTATGTTTAATAAACTAAATGAATTAATCCCCTAATGTCTAAAAAAAAAAAAAACTGACAGCCTCATGATTTTGAATTTTTACAACTTCCATTATGAGAAAAGCTTGGAATTCTTAAGAACTTAAAAATGTGTTTTTGCAAGGAATTCAATCACATTACTCTAGGATGTTACTTTGAGTACCTGAAAAAGAAAGTAAACTGGAGGCCAGAACAGTAAGTAAGGCGCTTGCCTTGAAAACAGTCAACCCAGGTTCAATCCCCAGTATCCCATACGGTCCCCTGAGCACTGCCAGGAGTGATTACTGAGTGCAGAGCTAGGATTAACCCCAGAACATCACCAAAAGCCAAAAAAAAAATAAAATAAAAATAAAAAAGAAAGAATAATCCAAGCTGTGCGATGCTATCAGTTATGTTTACAAAGGCAACTCATTTTTTAACCCTATGGGAACTTTGGAGGCATTAATCACCCTGGCTCTCCCTTTAGTTAGCCCCCCCCCCCCACCTTCTTTCCAGCATATAAAAAGAGAAAAGAAACAATTAAAAATTCAGAAAATACTTTGAAAGCAAAGGCAGAATTTGCAAATAAGGACAGTCAATACTTTAATAGGGAAAATATTCTAAATAGCAAACCACAGGAGTTAATCACTGTACTTTTCACCCTCCTAAAATATGAAGAAAGTGGGTTCAGCCTATTCAGCTACAGAAAGGCTTCAATAGAAAGAGAGAAACTTGATCATACTTAAAACATCAGAGGTGGGGTTGGAGCGACAGTGCAGCAGGGAGGGAGGGGGTTTGCCTTGCATACGGCCCACCAGGGTTCGATTCCCAGCATCCCATATGATCCTCTGAGCACCACCAGGAGTGATCCTTGAGTACAGAGACAGGAGTAGCTCTGAGCATTGCTGGGTGTGACCCAAAAAGCAGGAAACACACACACACACACACACACACACACACACACACACACACACACACCCATCAGAGGCAGCACAGGGCTGGAGCGATAGCACAGCGGGTAAGGCATGAGGCTGACATGGCCGAGCCGGGTCCGATTCCTCCGCCCCTCTCGGAGAGCCCGGCAAGCTACCAAGAGTATCTTGCCCGCATGGCAAAGCCTGGCAAGCTACCCATGACGTATTCGATATGCCAAAAACAGTAACAACAAGTCTCACAATTTGTTGTGAGATGTTACTGGTGCCCGCTCGAGCAAATCGATGAACAACGGGAGGACAGTGCTACAGAGCTACGTAGGCAGCACACAACCTTAATATGATTAGCTATTTGTATTTTATATGAATTAACATTAGTGTAAGTGTGGCGAGTAACATTCGCGGATTTAGTCAATGTTTTAGCAAACACCAAGACTCAAACTCATTATCAACTCGAGACTTCAGATTTGTTCGGTTCTTGAAAGTGAACAGTTATTGAATACATAGTGTGAAAAGCTTGGCCAACGCTCGCCATTCCTACAGAACTGGCTTTGTCACCAGCCCAGCTGACAGATCTCACTCACCTCTTGTCCATACTTCACCGAGTGATCTGAAGGAAGCAGCTCGATGTCGCCCTCCACCATGGCCCCTTCTAAACATTCGTCTAAGTTGCGATAACCGTTCACCTGAAGGGGATACTGGCCGAAGGTCTCGTTGTTGCAAAAGGGCTTTCCTAGGCAGAGAAACAGATTGCTCCTTTACAGACCTCCCCGCTGCTCTCTCAGGCCTTTTGATCTGCTTTCTTCTGGCACCACAGAGGCACTCCCTTCTTAAATTCAGCAACTTCCTGAGAATGGGCTGAGTGGTTCTCTTAAACCTTGTTGGTGGAGCCAGACGACAGCACAGCGGATAAGGCTTTTGCTATGCACAGCCGACCCGGGTTTGATCCCCGGCATCCCATATGGTTCCTGAGTACTGCCAGGAGTAATTCCTGAGTACAGAGAAAAAAACACCTGCTGGCAGCCCCACTGCCAACTATGTGGAAAGACAGGCAGTCGGACTTCATGTGCCTCATGACCAAAAGCTGTCCCACCTCTTCCTGTGTATTCGTCTTACCCCAAGAAGACTGACCGCAGCCTGTTCAAATCTCTACCAAATACATCCAACTATCAACTCACAAAAAGGAGGAGGTCAGAGGAACATGAACACATCCAACTGTACAGTGGACTTGCATGCAACAGGGCTGCTGACTGTACCAAATAAAGGGAAAAAAAAATTCACACCCCACCGTGGGCTGGAATATGTGCTATGCACGCACGAGGCCTGGGTTTGATCCCTGGCACTTCACAGTATCCTGAACGACCAAGGGCCAGCACTTAGCTGGTAGTGGCCCCCAAACGAAATAAATTTCAAAGGCCCAGGAACCTAGCTCAGACGGCAGAAATCACGACCCAAGCCCAGTCCCTGCCACTGAATGTGGCACCACTATGTGAAGTTCTTGTCAGCCAAGTTTGTAAACGAAGCATTTTTGGTTTCTGATTTTAAAGAACTATAAAAATACACCCTCAGTTGGCCTGGCAGCTAGCTCAATGGGCTGAATGCAGGCTCCACATGCAGAGACTTGGATCCGATCCTGGGGAACGACACGTTCCCTGAGCACCAAGCCAGGAGTAGCAGCGGTTAGGCATAGCCCAAATCCAAAATAAATAAATCAACTCAATTCGTAAAACAAATTGGTCATTTGAATACATATTAGGTATGATATAAAAAATGCAATTAAAAACACATCTACATAGTAAGTACAATGGTAAGGTACTTGCCTTGCCCAGGGCCGATCTGGGTTTGATCCCCCAAGCACTATCAGGAATGATTCCTGAGCACCACCAGGTATGCCCCCCCCCAAAATAATAAGAAAAGAAAGGCTATCTGTTTATAGTGAAAATGCTATTAGGTTTTTAAAAAGGAAATAATGATGGAGGGAGAACAGAGAATGGGGGATGACTGGCCAGAGGATACTGGTTATTAAATTCGTGGGAGTTTTTTATACTGCTCAATTTAATGCGTTCAAAATTCTCTACAGTAAAAACAAAAAATTATGTGTCCAGCACATAGCTTAGATAAGCCTCGAAGTACACATTTTTGGCGGTCTAACTCAATAAAACCTTTTGAGATTCAATTATCACACCATAAAAAAAACCCAACTCAGAAAACTGAGTAGCATTATAGCATATCTGGCATTGGTAAATGTGGGCGCAAATATTGTACAATTTAATGTCACAATTCTTAGATACAGACTATGCACCTGTTTTACAGGAGACTGAGGAGTTCGACTTTGCCCACAATTTACAGCTTTTAAGAGGCAGAACAAACAATTGAGCCTAGATCCATCTGACTCTTGATTCTTTTCATTTTCCATCCATTCATTCATTCATTCATTCATCTCGATTCATTTTCTTCATCCCCAGAGAGACCAGTAAGAGAGACAGTCACAAGACTGGAATGAACATTTAGAGCAGAGAATTTACCTTCACGAACCCCTTCTGTGAGGAAAGTTCCATAAAAGAGCTGCACCATTGGGTTTTCAGATTTGTTCCCGGGACTGCTATTTTTGTTTTTGTAAAAAAAAAAAAAAAAAAAAAAAGAGAGAGAGAGAGAGACCATTCTGTATTATTTAGATCAAATAAGCAGTATTCCAAACCCAACCCATCATTTCAAAGCAAAAACAGTATGTTTCAATCACTCCCCCCTAAAGAGTCAGGAATAGTCTAAAATAAGTAATGGATTAGGCTAGCTTAAACACTCTTTGAACAAGTTATATGTCTGGTATTGTGCTAAGTTCTAGACACATAGACACAATCCTGGCCTTAGAGAACTGAAAACCTAACGGGGGATCATATGTGAAGATGAGTGTATGTGTTTCTATTCCATACACACATCTAGATTCGATGTTAGATGCATTTCAGGTATAGAAATAATACAGAAATAAGAATGAAAATAGTTCATTTTCACAAGTCCAACTTAAATTCTTATTAACTACACAGGTCGCAATTTTGCTTTTCCGACACACACATTTCTTCTATCCAGAGTTCAAACAATTTTAATAAACAATGATTTCTTATCATCTGTATTCGTTGAGACATACATGTTTATTTCCCCCTCTGAATTTCACTCCGGTGACTGAAATGGCTTTGAGCTATCTCCAGCATTCTACAGACTTCACAAAGAGTTTGAAATGCAGTCACCTGACAAGCACTGCTGCACTCACATCTGGGACTGATTGGAATTTGCAATACGTTTTACAGCACGGGCAACCACGTGTTAGGACCCGTGTAGTAAAAAGGGTTGGAAGTCAGGAGGATCTTCTCTATGTTCAGAAGGAAGAACCCCGAAGAAGGTAGGGATAAACGGTACATACTGAAAAGCGGTGACCCCGGAGTTGGGAAAGACTAGCCATTGCTTCAGGAGCAGAGGGTTTCCCCCCAGACCCTGACTCTCACTGGACCGCTGTGAGTAGGTAGGATGCACAAACAAATCCTCAACACTCACTTAACATTAACAGCTAGCTGGAACGCGTCCTCTAGCCAATCCAGGAGCTTGTGTGTAAATTCACTCACATCTTGCTATAAGAGAGGCACAAATTGCATAAGAGTTAGACCCAACACTCTTTGGAGGGACATGAAAATCTGCCCTTTCCCACCAACGGACAAAATTCTTCTTTTTTTCTTAATTGCTTTTTCTGGGGCCAAGTATCATGCAGATACAAGATGCGGAGGAACTAACTATAATATGAAGATAAAGTAGAAGGCACACCTGGTGACCTCTGAAATAGTGGTTAGGAGGGACTGTCATCTCTGTCACCCCCAGCCACTTCCACTAACAAAATCTTCCAGGTCGGTCTTAAATAAAAAAAACCGTTCCACTTAGGCCTTACTTTACAAAAAAATTAAAAAACAGAAAAAAGGGGCAAAGAACAAACCTGAGTCCTCTAAAAACAGTGTGAGATCTGAATGAAGAAACTTTTATATGAAACGTTTTGAGAATTCTGTAGAATTTAAGAATATTTAAACAGGAGGGGAGGTAAACAATTGATTTTATGAAGAAAAAGCTGTTCTAATAGAGACAGCTTTGTATTTCTATGAGAAAGTAAGGCGAGGAAACCACTCATGTCTAGAAGAGAGAAATCTCTGAACTCAGATTTAGATAGTTTTACAATTAGGATTTCAGGCCAGGCACTTGGGAGCTTAAGCTTCACATATTGTTCCATCCCCGGCATGATAAATAAATACAAACAGAATTACCAGCTGGCTCATCCCAAGACAAAGATGTGAAAGACTGTTTACAATGTGAGGTTTTTACCAACCTCCTTTTTACGTGAACAGCCCCCCCGTGAACTTCTAATCTTTCTACTACTATTTCTTCCCGGTGTGCCACCAGCCTCCCACACAAAACACACACAGTGCGCATGCATTGCTCTGTGTGTGTGTGTGTGTGTGTGTGTGTGTGCGCGCGCGCGCGGGGTGCGCGTATGTGTTACCAATGATCAAATTCAGAGTCTCACACATGCAGCACAAGTATTCGCCCATCAGACACCTTCCTTCCCATCTCTTCCCTGGGCACTAGAAAAGGCCATGACTGGAAAGTCACGCATCCCCTTGGTCCTGTTCATGGCTTACGAGATGGTCAGAACTAGAGCAGGGGCAGATTAACAAGGCATGGTTTCAAGCGTCAGGGCCAGGGGTGGGGGGCGGGGTCTGCAGGGCCAGAATGGGTTTCTTGTACCTGCTGCTCCTCAGGGGAGCGGAATGCCCCCTTTAAAAGGTCCAGGGCTGCGGAGGGGTCCACAAACTTGCGATTTGATCCCATCATGAGAGCAAACAAATACTGAAGCTCTTGCATGAACACGATGTTTCTTTTTTCCTGCGGGAGACACAGCAATGGAGTCCTCTTATTCGGAAATCGACAAGACGCTCGCTTCCCTGTCAGAGGTGGGTAAATACACCAGGGCTAGCCGGGTGATAGGTTCTCTGCTAAGGTCTGCGTCGTCTAAGACGCTGACCAGAAACCCAAGACCATCTGTGTAGGAGCCAGAGACAGCAGTGTCAGAAAAGCCAGAGCGTTGCCTTCCCGAGCTGTGCCCTGTGAAGACGATGAGTGGGGCTGGGACAGTCCTGAGGTGGGCAGGAGCCGCAGCCTTTTCCTCTGGCGCGAGGAGCCTCAGTCAGTCTCTTCTGAGAAAGCCCAGCCCTCCGGCCACCTGGTCACCTGTCCTGCATTGCCCCAACAGAGCAGTGACAGAAAGCCTCAAACGCCAGAAACATCTGCTTCTCCCTCCCCGCCCCATGCCAGAGTTCTCTCAGGGGCTCGGGGCTTTCTTGGAAATGCCCTCCACCTTCCATCCCCACTCGACTACATTTCCCCAACCCTACTGCCCGTGACAGAGAACAGGAGCCACTGAGCATGGAAACGAAGCCTGGCTTGCATCAGAATGTCTCAGCTACCGGCTCGAGTCAAAACTGAGAGAAGCTTCGAGGAAATCAGCGACCAACCCCCAGGGCAGCTTCTCAACAACCAACTCACCGTGTGACTTGGACAGTTTTCTAGAATGTTCTGGGGCAGACTATAGCTGAGCACGAGCCTCCGGAATTCAGGCAACTGAAAGAGAGACTGAAACAGGGAAAGAAACAGATTCAGAACCTTTATTTCTAACCATCTCAAGTATTTTTAAAATGACTTTTACCTTAAAAATAGGCATAAAATCAATTGAGTGATTCTACTGGTAAATCTAAAAGAACGGCATTAGATGTGCACAAAATTTTCAGCTGAATGTCTGAATCCTTTGCAGGAGAAAATTGTAAGCGACTCAGGGGGAAGCCAGAGGACTAGGCTAGAGACACTATCGTAAATACATATATAGCAGAGGACTACGTAGTCATTAAGTATAGAAAGCTCTTTTCATAAAATGGTCTACTATACAACAGTGAAAACTATTATACAGCAGTGAAAATAAATGATCCACGATTACATGCAGCCACTTGAATCTCAAAAACTGAAAGAGAAAAAAATTTCAGAAAAAAAAAAACAGGTGCAGAAAACAGAGTGATACATTGCTTACAGGCTGAGTTCAATTCTAGCTGACATAGTGTGATGTAATGCTCAGGGACACCCCTTTGGTTATACCTGGGGGGAGGGCAGGAGTGAGATTTGCAAGATGTATTTCAAAGCCGGATGAAAACAAAACAGGGGGTAAGAGCTAATAACTTTGGCTGGCAGAATTAAAGAGGGAGTTTTTTCACTGTTGGGACACCATACAATACCCTACTATTTGTACTTTTTCAAAGTTAATAACCTTTGATAACCCCTTGAAGGGCTGAAGTAATAGTACAGTGGGGAGGGCACTTGCCTTGCACACAGCCAAGCTGCGTTCAATCCCGGGGACACCAGATGTCCGCCCAAGCCCACCAGGAGTGATCCCTGAGCACAGAGCCAGGGCAGGAGTAAGCCCTGAGCACCACTGGATATGGCCCCAAGACCAAAAAATCAAAAATAGAAAATCTACTCCAATCCCTCGAACAGATGAAACTCCTTCCCAACAGTCCTCAAATGAAAAGTCCTTCAAGTCCGCAGACGTCGGAACTCTTGAAGAGGCAAACTGTGATCAGAAGCGCGTACTTTCCTGGGCATTCATACCCTGGCTGGCTCAGTGCTCAGGGATCACTTCTGGTGGGTGACAGGATATCCAGGTGGGCCATCGGCAGTGTGCAAAGCTGTGCCCTGCCAGAAGTGCTACCTCTCTGGCCTTTTTTTTTGGCTTTTTGGGTTGCACCTGGTGATGCTCAGGGGTTACTCTTGGCTTTGCACTCAGGAATTAATCCTGGCGGTGCTCAAGGGACCACATGGGATGCTGGGAATTGAACCCAGGTTGGCCACATGCAAGGCAAATGCCCTACCACTGTGCTATCACTTCAGTTCCATCCCCCACTCCAGCCTTTGAGGGAGGCAACTTGGCCTTCAGGGCCTGCACTGACTCAGTTTTACAGCCAGTTGTACGCTGATGTCAAGGTAGCACCCAGGGAAGTCAGAGGTGGAGACACCACACTGGCACCTCAAAACCAGCTTGTTTGAAGCGGATGGAATTCCACTCTTAACCACACCCATATGATTCTTCTTCCCGTGTCAACCGGCGCTGTCATCTACTTAGTTCCAGGTCTCTCTCAACTAGCTCCTGGCCTCTCCCCCATGTCCAGTCACTCCACTACAGTGCGTCGACCCCATCTCCTTAATACCTCCAGAATCACTTTCTCCTTCCCTGGCTTGTGTCACATCTCCAGTCTAGACCGCCGTCATTTTGTGTCTGGCTTCCGACTACTGATCTGCCCCCTAATTCACTCTTGCTCTGCTTCCTACGCGTTCACTAAATGCTGATCCATCAGTGACTCCCATCCAACGTGCGATCAACAACTCACAAGACTTTGCCTTCAGTACCGCCAATTTAGACCCCACAGCATCAGATTCTAAATGACAGTAATATTATGGGAGAAAACCACCCCCACCCCCACCCCCACCCCCGGTTTTATGGTTTCTTTCTAAAAGAGTAAGAATAAATGTTACCAACCAGCTTAACAAACGAAAAAATTATTTCCAGGAGATGCTTAGACTTTAAAAATATCATACCTGAATAACAGCACTAAACCAGCATGTGTTGCCGACATTCTTTAGCCCGACGGGCCAGCCATCCACTCGCCTCCAATCGCTGGGATTCAGACTCTCTCCCCACACTTCACAGCGTTTTCTCTTGGAGCGTTTTGTTTCTGCAGAGGTTGCCTCGTGCATCCTACATTACCAAGCACACCACACCAGCAGGAAAAGATAAAAAGAGTTAGAGAACATATTCCATAGGAAGGATGATGGCGGCACCCCTGCTGAAATAATGAAACATGCCAGATAAACTCTTTATTGGGCAATCATGGGCCTCCTACGTTTTTTACCTTTTCTTTTGTTTTGGCTTTTTGTTTTTATTTATTCATTCCCCTCCCCCCCTTTTTGGGTCACATCTGGCGATGCACAGGGGACCATATGGGATGCTGGGAATCGAACCTGGGTTGGCCGCATGCAAGGCAAATGCCCTACCCGCTGTGCTATTGCTCCAGCCCCATTTTTGGCTTTCTGGATCACACCTGGCGATGCTCAAGGGCTCAAGGGTTGGTTACTCCTGGCTCTGTGCTCAGGAATCGCTCCTGGAGTTGCTCAGGGAATTATATAGTATCAGCCGCATGTAAGGCAAATGCCCTCTCTGCTGCACTATCGCTCAGACCCTTACAGAACTGTAGTTTCTTCTAGGAACTGCAATATTCTAACAAGCGGACAAGCAAAGACTTAAATATAGACACATTAATACTACTGTACGGTAACTCCTAATAAAGGGGACCCTAGCTCAGACCCTCTATTGAAAGAGGCCAATCGAGGCACAGCCGAGGATGCAGTGATGGGCCTCCACACAGCCTCGCACACAACCGTGACCCTCAGCAACGTGACGGGGGAAAAGCGAGTCTGGAACTGACAGGTCGCCAATGAAGTCTATGTCTCTGTGCTAGGCCAGGTAATTATCAAATGCGAACAAGTTTTAAGAAATGTAGCCCTGGTCACCTCCGAGACGGGAAGCTGAGAGGCGCATTCATTCTCCAAGACCCCAGGTTGATAAAGGCTCTCGGCTTACACGTGCCCTAGAATGGGGCCCCTCCTTGGCGTAACTGTGAACTATAAGTCTTTGCTGGCTTCTACTCGAAGACCTCGGGCTGCAATAAAACTCTAATCACACTTGGCTTTGCTCTGGGGAGGAGCGGGGCCAAATGGGGCCACTCTCTATGCTGTGCGGATTCACGGTTTAGTGCTCAGGCCCTGCAATGCAGTTGGAGCCCAGCAGTGCTAAGGGTCACTGGGGTCCCATCAAAGACACACAGTCACATCTAGGATACTCGGTCACACTCAGGTGCTCAGGTTTTGGAAAAGTGAATCAAAGGTTAGGTAAACAGATGGAAATTTAAATGTTCTCCGAAAGAAATTTCATTGGGGGGGAGGGGGGAGACAGGGAGAGATAGAGGGGGAGAGAGCGAAAGAGAAAGAGAGGGAGAAAGGAAGAGGGAGAGAGAGGGAGAGAGAGGGAGAAGGAGGGAGAGGGAAGAGAACAGGGAAGAGAGAGAGACAGAGAGAGAGAGAGAGAGAGAGAGAGAGAGAGAGAGAGAGAGAACGCAGCGTGGTAAGGTGCTTGCCTTGCATGCCTGGCTTGATCTGGTTCCCCAAGGACCATGAGGGGCCACTCCTGAGCACGGAGCCAGGAACAGCCTGAGTACTGCTTGGCGGAGGGGGGGGGGGTCTCCCAGCCCCCATCCACTCCCAAAAGAGAGATTTCACTCAGATGTGATCAAAAGAGTGTGAGCTAAACTGGCTCTTGGTGGCATGCACCAAACAACTGCCGTTCATCTACACACTAGTGGGGAACACGAAAGCTATCAGATCAAATGAACAACCTGTTCAGATCTCTTCCATCGGCTTGAATTTTGGGAGATTCCAGGAGACTCAAAGCAATAGCAGCCTGAAGATCATCCTTGCTATCGTGAGTAAGATCAATAACTTCTGTAAAATAAACAGATGTTCAGTCAGTTTGATATACAGGAAACCGCGCCCCTCTCTCTGTGTGCAGTTAAAAAAAGCATTTGAAAAAAAAAATTCCGAGATAAAAATTACAATGGCTCATCTGGGCCACAACATTTTACTCTCTACCAGAATCAAATGAGTAACTTACAGCCATGCTGTAACCTCAGGCCAGTCAACAGTACAGAAGTAAAATACCTCCTTTTTCAGCCTTATTCCACAACAATCAAGGTCACTCCTGTAGGTTAAATGATCCCTTTACGGGGTTAGAACAGTATAGCAGTCAGAGTGCTTGCCTTGCACGTGGCCAACCTAGGTTCGATCCCTGGAATCCCATTTTGTCCCCAGAACAACACCCGGAGTAATTCCTGAGTGTAGAGCCAGGAGTAACCCCTAAGCAACGCTGGTATGGCCCAGACACCAGAAACGAACAAAAAAGCCTGCGCGTTCCCCTTACCTGCTCTTACCCTCCTAACTTCACCTCTGCACGCGACCCTCACACAGCAGCCCTGCTCACCAGCCCCACATCCAGGCCCCGGCCACCAGCATCGGCCACCGCCTCCTCGAGGGCTCCAGGCTTCCCTGCTGTGACCTGGGCTCACTGCCCCACTCTGGTCTCAATGCAGAGGTCAAAATGACCTTGAAGCCAGCTGGCATCATTCCTCTGAGCCCAACTCCAACAGCCGGCCGGCCCTCTCTGACCCCAAGGAAAAGCAAGCACTTAGGAAGGTTCTGCAGCCCGATCTGCACTCCCTCCCCACCCCCCCCCCCCCCCACAGTGCTCACTCACAAGGCCTCCCTTGACTCTGGCCTCCTGCAAGTCGAAGTACAGACCCATCTTAAAGCTCAAAGGACTTACAACCAACTCCGGACTCCCCTGCTTTGAACCTTTTCCTTTCGGGGATGGCCAGGGGAAAGGGGAGGGTCCCAGGAGTGGTTGGGAGACCTGGGGACCCCTCTCAGAGTCTCAGCCAAATGGGCACCCGAGGATGCAGAGCTGCTGGGATCCTGGGGTGCTGGAGAACGCCCCATAATGACTAGGGAGGCCATAGGAGGAGGCAGAGCCACATACAAGGCCTGCATCTTAACCCCTGTGCCATCTCTCTAGGCCTCCACCCCAGCATCAACTTATTGCATCCCATTTAGAATCGGGTGTTCATCTCTCCTTTCCCTCTTTTTTTATTCCAGCCCTTACTTTTATTGACTAATAGTCTCTTCAATGAAAAAAATGAAACACAGAAAAGCAGTCTCTTAATTTGCAGTGTTTCTTCACCTGCAGTGCCTAAAACAGTGCTCGGGACATAGCAGGTGCTCATTTAAAAGGCAGCTGACTGCCGGAAAGAACCAGTCCAATGATGTTTGCACCAGCCCCAAGTCTGGTATAACTGGTAGGAAACTCACAGACACTCTATCTTGTTTCTGAGTTCAAAGCTGGACCAAGCCTGCACCTACTCACTTGCTAAGGCTTCTTGGCTGGCCGCATGACCCTCGACGTCAGATGGTTCTGTAGCCGCGGGATCCTGACTGGGCTCCTTCACACGTTCATCTGTGAGAAGGCTGACTGCCTGCGTGATGTCACCATTACTGGCCTAAGGGAATAAAGATGTCAACAGTATCACCTCGCACTTTTAAAGTAGAAAATTAGGGCTGGGGCTGGAGCAATAGCACATCGGGGGTAGGGCGTTTGCCCTGCACGCGGCCGACCTGGGTTCGATTCCCAGCATCCCATATGGTCCCCTGAGCCCTGCCAGGGGTGATTCCTGAGTGCAGAGCCAGGAGTAACCCCTGTGCATCGCCAGGTGTGACCCAAATACCAAAAAGAAAACCCCCCCCAAAAAAGAAAATTAGGGCTGGAGTGATAGTAGGTATCAGTGTAGGGTGTTTGCCTTGCACGCAGCCGACCCGGGTTCAATTCCCAGTGTCCCATATGGTCCCCCAAGCACCACCAGGAGTAATTCCTGAGTGCAAAGCCAAGAGCATGGCTGGGTGTGACCCAACAAGAAAAAAAAAAAAAGTAGCTAATTAGTTTTGTGAAAGTGACTCCTTATGATTCTAATGATCTATTAAGCCCATCCACAAGTAACCTGAAGATAGAAAGCAGGAGAACAACAACAACAAAAAAGAAGAATCCAGGGCCAGAGCTGACCACTTGAGCACAGAACAGGGCAAGGCCTCCTGTGCACCACCAGGCCTGGCCCCAAAACAAAAAGAAACCAAAAAAAAAAAAAAAAAACCCCACAGTGGAATAACAGAGCCTAATAAGCTCAAAGTACACATCAAACACCTCGTTTCCGGGAGCTGCCAAACTTGGGTTTCCCAGACTGTACAAACAAGAGCAGAAGCCATGGCTGGGAGACGCCGCCTGACTTCACAGAGGAGCTGGGGCAAAAAGGGCAGATTCTAACTGAAGTCAACTTACACTGTAAAGGTATATTATTTCTTCTTTTTTAATTCATATTTTGATTCTAGTGGGGGGCGGGTCACCCCTGGCAGTGTTCAGGGCTTACTCAAGGCAGGGTTTGGGGGACCATATGGGGTGCCAGGGACTGAACCAAGATTGGCCACGTGCAAGGCATAAGCCCTACCGGCGTGCGCTCTCTCTCTCTCTCTCTCTCTCTCTCTCTCTCTCTCTCTCTCATTTAATGAAATGTCTTAGGAAAAATTTCCTTCTTCCCCCCTTCCCTCCTTCCTTTCTTTTGGCTTTTTTTTTTTTTTGGCCACACCTGGCTTTACTCAAGACTTCTTTCTTTTTTTGGGGGGAGGAGAGGGGTGGTCACACCCAGCGATGCTCAGGGGACCATATGGGATGCTGGGGATCAAATCCGGGTCGGCTGCGTGCAAGGCAAACGCCCTCCCCACTGTGCTGTCACTCTGGCCCCCAAGGCTTATTTCTGGGGCCACGTTTGGCAATCAAATCGAGGGTTAGCTGCATGCAAGGCGAGCATCCAACCTGCTGTACTTACTCTCTCCCAGACTCATTTCCCGCCTCTTTTTTTGGGGGGGAGGGGGAAGGAGGGAGGAAGGAGTTAGGGTCACAGCTGGCAGTGCTCAAAGAACTATTCCTGGCTCGGTGCTCCAGGGAGCATTTAGTATAGGGAATCAAACCCAGGTCTCTTGCTTGAAAAAGGTAGACCCCAGTCCACTGAACTATCTCACCAGTCAAAAAGTAACAAGGTGGGCTGAAGATACTTAGCTTGCAAGCAGTCAACCCAGGTTCAATCCCCTTTACCTCATACGGTTCCCTGGGCGCTGCCATAGTTAAGTCATGAGCCCAGGAAACAAAGTAACAAGGTTTCTGGTTTATTTTTAACCATATACCCAGTTCAAACTTCCAGATTTAAGTTATACTTCAGCTTGTTCCATTTAGTCAAAATCCTCATAAACATTTATTGACATGTTGACATGTTTCTAAAATCTTTTACCCTGGAGGGTTCCCTTGGACCCGACTCTCCCTCATTCCCAAGTCTCCCCTCATAAATTACAAGTTGAAAATTCAAGGACAACTGACTCGTAAAGAGCTCCCACATTCTTATGTTTTGGCATAAAAATAGCTTGCACCAACCTAACTATGTGAGGACAACAACTGTTTTGAAAGGCCTTTGGCCTAACAAAGTCTACCCCCCCCCCCCCCGCTTCCCCTGCAACCCCCAACTAACCTTCAGGGCTTCATGAAGAAAGGAAGGGTCCTGAACACCCGTGATTTCTCTCAGTTGGTTTAACAGCATTTGACAGCTCTACATGTGAGAAACAAACAAACAAACAAAAAACCCGCAAACATGTTAGTCAGAAATTAAACCTCAATGCACTTAAGGAATATTGACAAGAATCTGTTTCTCTAACAAGTCTAAGATTTGCATTTTTTTTAATAAAAAAAAAAGAAAAAACAACCTGACAACGGGGCAGGGGAATGCTTCTGGCACGTCTGGAAGAAATGTGAGTAAAAACTTGTTCTTTCTTTAAGCAGCATGCAAGTGAAGGAGTCCCGGGAATGTGCACGCATGTGAAGCTGGGTTATTTTAAGCTTCACTGCTCATACCACTGTGTGTCACTTTTCACTGACAATGACTTTCCAATCACACAACTGACCAACGATGCCACCGACAACCTACTAAATAAACTTCAGCTTCGAAGGCTTAGGAAGAAATAGAAAGCAAGAGTCTGAATTCGAAAGAAGATGACAGAGAGGGAGAAGACAGGAAATGTTCCCATTAATCTCGACCGACACTGTTCCCATGTTGATTTCCCACTATCACATGTCTATAATCTCCTTTCGGTCTTCGCGGGCACATTTCCTCTGGTTTGTCACCAACACAAAAGTTAACACAAGCCACTTACTTAGAAGTAATTTTGAAAAACTGACTAGGCTACATGAATTGGTCTCTGAGATGCATGTTGAAAATGAAATCGTTCAAATTGAATTCAGTGCAAAGAAATCTAATTGGTACCATCCCCTAGGATATCCGCTATAGAATCACTACTCCTTGCTGTGTGCTGGTTCCCCAGCAACTCTCTGGCAGGGAATGCGTCCATGGGGCCATCCGCTCCGGCCAGCTGTAATACGAGAGGAACTGCCCGATGCTCTTCAACAGCTGAGGGCCCCATGTAACGCTGACGTACGACACAACCCGAAATAACCGATTGAAACATCCATCTACTGTCCTTGGACAAGCGTCAACGGTCTTTTCTGCTCGAGTCACAGGTCATCGTCACCGGCTAGAAATGGAACCGGACCTTGCTGAGATCAGCAGTCTTGGAGGCCTGTCAAAGGCAAGTGCTGTCCCCGACCAGGACAGCAACTGTCAGACTCAAAGGTGTCCGGTTAGCCTTGGCAAAAGCTAAATATGCACGATCTTCAGAGAAATTATTAAAAACTTTTCTCTGAGCCAGGGATTGCCTCGCACTTGGCTGGTGTCTGATCGGTCCCTGGCCCTGCACATGGCCGGCCCCCCGAGCACTGCCAGGAGTGCCCGCAAAATACAACAAGGTTTTGTCCCAAATGAATTCTAATGCCATTTGACTTTGCTGTTGTGAAAATATGTGAACTGAAGTATCTCTGATCATATAGAATCTTCTAAAATAAAAAAATCAAAATCAGGGACCAGAGAGAGAGTAGAGTGAGTTAGGTGTTTGACTTGCATCTGCCGGGAGTGATTCCTGAGCACTTGAAGTGTAAGCCCTGAGTACAGTCAGGTGTGGTCCAAAAAATAAAAAAAAAAGAACAAACAAAAAGCTATTGAGGGAGGCTGGAGTGATAGCACAGCGGGTAGGGCATATTGCCTTGCACCTGGCCAACCCAGGTTCGATTCCCAGCATCCCATATGGTCCCCCAAGCACCGCCAGGAGTGATTCCTGAGTGCAGAGCCAGCAGGAGTAACTCCTGTGCATCACCAGGTGTGACTCAAAAAGCAAAAAAAAAAAAAAAAAAAGCTATTGAACAGAGGCTAAGTAGATCACTCAGGTAGAATAATCCTTGTGAGGCCAGAGTGAAAGCTACCGAGGATAGGGCACTTGCCTTGCATGCAGCTGGCCAGGTTTAATCCCTGATACCCCATATTGTCCCCTGAACCCCACCAGGAGCTCCCAAACTCAGAGCTAGGAGTAAGCCCTGAGCACTGATGGGTGTGGCCCATAATCAAACAAACAAAAAAAGAGTACTTGCCCTGGGTGTTTGAAGACCTGGATTTAATCCTTAGAGCCACAAAATAAATAAGCAAACAAATAAAAGCTAACAGAGTTAACATCTATGTGTATACACCCGCACAGCTCTGCAAACAACACTTTACAGGTTAATTTCAAGTCCAACTTCCTCTATTCAGTAAAAACCACTGCAGCTTTTCCCTGTTAAAGTGTCAAGATGCCGTAACGCACAGGAGCAATCCACAATAACGGATGTGTTTTACTAATCGTATTTTTGCAGTGCCAGGGTATCCAACGTGGGGGTCTCACATGTACAAGTCCCAGCCAGTCGCCATCAATTCCTATGGAAAATTATTTTGCGCATTCGCGGCCACGCGACATCTTATTATCTCATTCCTGCTTTGGACAACTTGGCAGGCTACCGAACATAACCTGCCCAAACGGCAGAGTCTGGCCAACTCCCGTGGCGTACCCAATATGCCAAATACCAGTAACAATGATGGGTCTCATTCTCCTAACCCTGAAAGAGCCTTGAATGTGGCACTTTTTAGAATCTCAGGGCGAGGGCGAAGGAGACATTACTGGTGCCTGCTCGAGGTAATCGACGAACAACAGGATGATCGTGATCGTGATTCCTAGACTCAAATCCACCAGCTCACACTCAACAGGACTGCTGAGTACCCCAGAGAGTGAAAGCAGGAGTGCCACATCCAACCCAGTATGGATGCAGGAGGAGCACCTGAGGAAGACGCTCGCAGAACCCTTCCCGCTAGTGGTGTCCTCTGGAACAGAGGTTTTCAACTGCCTGTCCACGGCCTGCTCCATGCCTGGGAGCTGGTTGGTCCTTAGGTACAGGGAGATGGGACAGCCAATGATCTGGCCCGAGCTTCCTAAATGTCCACTCATAAACCTTCATCACCCAAACCGTGTTTGAGTAAGACTTGGATACATATCAATGTGAAATAGAGACACAGATCAAACATTTCCTGAGGTTAAATTATGAAAAAACTTATTTTCCATTTCTGCCTTTAATTTTGCAATCCCTACATACAGTTATGGGCTAGAGCAATAGCACAGCGGGCAGGACGTTTGCCTTGCACACAGCCAACATGGCCAACCCGAGTTCGATTCCTCCGCCCCTCTTGGAGAGCCCGGCAAGCTACTGAGAGTATCTCGCCCCCACGGCAAAGCCTGGCAAGCTGTGACATATTTCATATGCCAAACACTCTCACACTGGAGACGTTACTGGGCCCGCTCAAGAAAACTGATGAACAATGGGAGGGCAGTGACAGTGACATACAGTTATATGACCTGCAGTTTACAAAGCGAGGCTCGGGCTGGCCAGGGAGACAGCTCAAAGGACTGGCACCCATGCTTGGCAAGCTGCAGGCCTGGGTTCGATCCCTGACATAGGCATAAAATAGTGCCCTGAGTGCTGCCAGGAGCAACCAGGGAGCACTGTTTCTAGAGTAGCATCTGAGCCTGGTGTGCCTCCTTCCCCAAACAAAAGGGGTGGCTGGAGCACTAATGATAATACAGCAGATAGGGCGCTTGCCTTGTCCACGGCTGACCCGGAATAGATCCCCGAGTTCCACCAGGTGTGGCCCCCAAACAAAAACACAAGGAAGAAGCTGGTCTCTGCAGCAGGCGCTGCACAAAGCAAGTGCTGAACACCGTCCGCTTTTCCGCCTTTTGTTGCAAAAGCAAAAGTCCTCTTTGTATTTCTTTCAATAGGCAAAAACAAGTAAGAGAGTTAAGTCCTTCAGAAAACCAAAGCGCCACAGCCACAGTTCGAACTCGGATAATGCGGGGCACACCTGCACCAGTTTTTCTGCCACTAACCTGCTCAATCTCTTCCCACCCCACCCCCAGCAGTGCTCAGGGGCTATTTCCGGCACTGTGCTTAGGAGGGAGCCGGGCAGTGCTTAGGAAGGGACCAAGTGTGGAGAGGGGACTGACTGTAGCCACTGCAGCTGCCCCAAAGGAACCTTCCTTCGAGCCGCACCACCTCGCTGGCTTCCCCAGGCTCTTGACTTCACAACCAGCCTCTGTGGGGCTTTGGGACATCTGCCTCTCTGACACGCGGCCCTACACCCCCACCTTGGAACGTCATCCTGAACCTGGGGGCCCAATCTGGCCCAGAACCTCCATAAAACTGCTTCCTCCCTGTCTGGTCCATGCTAGCCTTAGCTGTGCTTCCCTCACCTGAGGCAATGAATGAGCCTGGGAGTAGACAGCATTGACTGTCTTTACCCGGGCTCCTCTCGCCCCCTGGTTATCTGCCTTGAACGCGAAATCCTTGCCTCTCCAAGGCAAGGAGTCAAGAGAGCTTAGTTCAGAACCTGGGGCATACAATAGCACTGTAGCACTATCCTCCCATTGTCCAACGATTTGCTCAAGTGGGCACCAGTAACATCTCCATTGTGAGACTTGTTACTGTTTTTGGCATATCAAATATGCCACGGGGAGCTTGCCAGGCTCTGCCGTGAAGGTGGGATACTCTCAGTAGCTTGCCAGGCTCTCCGAGCGGGATGGAGAAATCGAACCAGGGTTGGCCAATTGCGAGGCAAAAGCCCGACCCCAACCAGCTGTGCTATCGCTCCAGCCCTGAGTCATACAATAGTGCTGGTAGTAAGAATCTCCAATCACAGTAGGATCCAATGGCCATTTCTCACTCAGTTTCTCCTAAAAACTTCACAGGCAGCCCACTGAAATTCTTTTCTCCCCCCTCAACCCCCCTCTGATACTATATATAAAGGTCACGCCCAGCAGGAGACAAGACAAAGCCTGTGGGCCCAGGAATAAAGAAGTTAAGTCTCTGGCAAGAGCCAACAGGTCTGCATTTCCTTTGCTAAATTCATGTCATTGTCATAAAACAAAAGTACTCTCTTCTCTTGCCCTGGGGCAGGGAAGAGAGACAGGTACCCACAAATCTCTCCAGAAAGGAACTGAGGTTTTCTGACCGCAGTTATGTGGTGGTTTTGGTGTAATCTGGTCCACTTCTCAGGCCTGCAGTTTTCTTAAGGGACAGTAACTCACCTCACAATAAGCTATAAACAGGATTAGCCACACAATAAAAACACTTAAGCACTCAGTG